GGAACTCTGCCACTCTGGGGGCCTTTGCATGTCTCTTCTGCTTTATGGTCCAGTGAACCCAATCCTCACCCAAAAAGGGAGCATCAGATAAATAGATTTTGTTCTACCTCTTGCTGTTTCACTGCTATGCAAAACTGACAGCTCAGTAAGAAAATATCAGTCTAAAATAAAGCAGAGTCAAATGTTGGGCAGGTGAATCTGCAAGACAGGAGGTCTGATGTGGTGAGACACCTGGCTGGGACTGGGGGCTGCCAGCAAGTGTCTGCACTGATCTGTCACCTTTGGGCCAGTGCTGAGGCCCTGCACTGCTCCACAGTGCTTATTATTTAAAGGCTTTTAAATTTTGTGTCTTTTTTAGTAGAGACCCCAACCTGATGGCTAAGAAGAGGCACATCATTCACACGTGCTCCCATTTAATCCTGAATTGTCTGAACTCAACTTTCAAGGTTTTCCGGGCCTTCATCTAACTGAATAAAATATTCAACTCTTTTTTTACCTTTTAAGCACTTCAGTTTTTATTATAGTGATCTGTGTGTCCATGTATTTAAATAAGAACTCTGCCACTTAAAACCAGTTTTGAATACCATATAGCTTGGGGTTAGGGTTGAGAGAGTCAAAGAGCCTCACAGCTCCAGGAACATGGGGGCTGGAAAATGTGTGCCAAGGTGATCCTGCAGGGGCCTCAACAGTGATGCTCCTGTACCTTTCTAATCTGGACCATCTGATTTCATCTGAGGATTCCCCACAGGATTCCTCCTGTACCAATCAGGTTTGGTGGGAGCACCCACTCACGAGACAGATGATTTGGTCTCAAACTTGGCAGAGCAGAGTCTTGAAAAGACTAATGGAAGGTCTCCCCTGGACGAGTTAGAAGAAGTGTATTCAAATGGCTGCACAAAATGTCTGAGRATCCAAATGTAGAGAAATGTAACATGAGCCTGATGCACCCCCTTTATTGACCTAGGCAAGGAAGAAAGTGCTAAACACACCAAAATAGGGAAACTAAAAGCTTGTCTCCCTTTAGGAGCATGGGTGAGCTGAGGCTCGATTTATGTTGCATGAGCTCGCTGATAATGGACATGGAGAGATCTATTGATGGAAGCTGCCAGACCCAAAAACCAGTTACCAACATTTTTAGTGGACACTGGGCCTCAGATATCAGCCCTGACCAAACAAGACATGGTTCCATCTGAATGATGCTTGCAGTRAATGCAGTGGCAGTAACTACTGCTGCAGTTAATGTTGTTGGGAGAAGAAGCCAGCATAACTGTTACCATGGCAACGGGGGGACTTCCCTTAAWGCTTACTGGGACAAGATGTTTTGAAGGGGAGAACTTGGCATGACAGTCTGGGGTGGCAGTGGTCCTTTGTAACCACCAGCCACCAAATTAGACTGTTGCAGATGACCCCAAATCTTCCCCCTTCAAAATTAACAAATGTCAAACCCTATCCACTGCCCTTGGGGGGCTGGCAGCGAATATCCTCTCTTCTAGAGGACTGAAAAAATTGGGAAATTATTATCCCCACTCACTCAGCTTTCAGTTCTCCAGTACATGGATGATATACTCATAGCAGGTAATCATAAGGAGGAGGTTGGGATTTCCCAGAATGACACCATTACTCACCTTGAAGGTTTAGGGTTGAGCTGCTCACTTGTGAATCATCTACGGAGTTAATGCTGAGATTTTAAAAACCTCACATAGATAATTGTGTCTATTTGACATTGTTTGTAGAGTTTCTTACCAGGGGTCTCATCTGAGAAATCTGACTTGTTTCAATTTTGTGTGTSCAAGTTCTGATATTGCAACTTTTCTGACTGGGTAACTTACAGATGTAAAATTACTCTGCTGATGTCAGTGTTAGAATTTAAATATTTTCTGTATAAAGTGTGTGGTATTCACTCAAACAGTGGTGTGTCCGTGATTGATTCTGCTGGCAACTGTTTGCTACAGGACCTGTGAAGTGACAGCAAAAGGGGAAGAAAGGCAGGCAAAGCATATCTGAGGGATTTTTTTTCATGCATCAGTAGGAATTACTTTATGTATTAGCCTAGCTTCAACTCACTACAGTTTATTTAAATAAAGTGGTATGCAAAGTAATATATAAATATTATAAATAAAGTGGTATGCAAAATAATGATGTATATTTTAGTGAGTAGCTCTATCACAAAGATGGTTTTGAAATGGTGAAGAGAAATTAGAAACCCTTTTTTTGGGGGGGGGAAATGAGCTATAAATGACTGTAAGCAGGACGGACTATCATCATGCAGTCTCCTTCTGTGAGGTCGGTGCCCTAGTCAGTCTCCAGTTCTGGGGAACACCAAATTATAAATTGACATGAAATGTGCCTGAAAAATGCATCTTCTCASAGATGTTATAAATTATGACAACAGGCTTGTGTCTGGTAGTGCCAGAGGCAATGCTTTTGGCTGCACAGTTAACRGCGTCTGTCTTTGGTGGAAAAATGGTACAGTTCACTTATTTTTGTAATGACTATTTCACATTTTTCTGACGGTGTGCTGGAGTCAGCCCAACATAGCTTTCTGTACAGTTTCATCTGGAAAATATATTGCACGTCTGCATCCTCTTCCATACTCATGCTGGTATTTTTAATGCACGACTAAAAATTGGGTATTCACAGAGGAGTTCCCAGCAGGAGCCAGGTCCTGGAAAAAATCTGTGCCAGGTCTTGTGGTGTGGACACTCACCGAGAGGACATTCTCTGGCTGCTCAYACTAAACATAGATGGTGTCTGCAATGGAAGGGCCAGAAATGTGGCAGCTTTTCACCAGAGCTGTGTGAGTATGGGCAGTATGGGGAACAAGTCATCCTCTAACGAGGAGCTTTGAAGTCTGGGTTGATGGACCATGCCAACACCACACATCTTCTTTCCTCSTATCCTCAAGTCTTTCCACTCACAGTCCTGAGTCCTCTCCCCTGGGCTGGGCTCCTGTGCYCTGTGCCATCCCCTGTGGCTCAGCAGGGGCTCTCCAAAGACACGGCTGTGTTTGAGGTAAGTTTGGTGACTTTGTTGTCCACTCACAGCATGAAGACAGGGAGAGATTGGTTTTATCCTCTAGCAGAGCCTTAACTACCTTTGAGGAGTGTCTGTGTTGGACTCTCATTTGATGGGAGGGAGGTGACACCAATTTCGTGCCTGGAACATGCTTGAGGTCAGGAGTGTAAAGGTGTAGCTGATGTCCAGCTGCTGGTGGTGCTAGGGCTTTTCTCTGCCTATCTGATAACAAACAATGGTTCTACCACCTGTGTAGTACTGGAGCTGCTCACAGAAACACCTTCAGGCTGTGGAGAGCAAAGCTCATGTTCTTGCTATCAGGTATTCACCTTTTTCAGAACTGTGCACTCTCCTTTACTTTCCACTAAATGCTTCCCGAAAGCTCTTAAGTTGCTGAGACCTCTATGTTGCCACATACTACTTGTTTATTTTGTTGAGGGTTTTTTTTTTTTTTTTTTTTTTTTTTTTTTTTTTTTTTTTTTTTTTTTTTTTTTTTTTTTTTTTTTTTTTAAATAGACCATACTTTTTAATCAATAGAATAAATACCTACTACAATACAAAAAACTCCACAGCAGTTCCTGGAACACAAGGAAATTAAATATGCTTCTTGTAAATATCATCTTCTCTTACAGATCCAAATTATAAATTAAATAAATAATAAAAACATAAATACACATGTCAAGATACAGCAATTATTAAAAWGAAATATTAATAATCTCCATCCTCATACTGCTTAAAACTATTAATTAACAAATTAAATACTACTACAATACAGCTTTCTCAACAGACAAAACTCTTGCTGCCCTGGACTGTATTTGGGTGCTTTATGGGCCATGTTACTTACAAGGGCAGGTACCACAAATGCTCACTCCCTTAATTACACTTAATTCAGCAAATGGACTTTTCCCACTGTCTGTCTGCCATCCTTATTTTTGCTTTGTTTAGGAAATGAAACCAAAAAGGGAAGCAGTGATTGCTGTGCTCCCTACTCCTTGGATGCACATATGGCTATGCAAGGGAGTAGTCCCACTGAATTTACTAGGTTTACCTGTATGTGTAAAAACACACATATGGGTTCCTGGCAGGATTTCTATGGGCTGAGGAAGGGGCTGCAGTGTGGTTGGTGAAGGGTGTTTTGGGAAACTCTTGGCCATGGCTCCAGCCTGGTTCAGTCATGGAGGACCTGATGTTGGCAGGGTCAGGGTGCCCAGATTATTGCACAGGGTCAGTGTGCCAGGCTCTCATTTAAGGCTGGGCTGGGACCCCTGTGACAAACCTGCTCAGGGCTGTTCAGGTGTGCAGCCTTTGGTTGGTGTCAGCATTGCTCTCGTGTGCCACGGCAGAGAGCACACAGTGGATACGGGGCCACCACTGCCAGCACAGGGTTCACAAGGAACTGTGTTCTTCTTTCCCAGGAGCAAGAAATAAAAGCAGGRGAGCAGATCATCCCTGTGTCAGGCTGCTGGGCCAGAGAAGCCTTTGGAATGAGCAGGGGGAGTCTGTGYGATTTGTAGGTGCAAAATTGTGCACTGACTATTTGAGCACCTCTGAAGGAGGAGCCTGTGACTGAAGCAGTGATGGAGAGCTGAACAGAAGGGCWGACAGAGGTACTTCATGAAGGTGTAGCACCTCTCTGTCCTTGGCAGACTCTGGACTGACTTGGCTCTGGCAGTATGAAAAGCCACAGCACCTTTTAAAGTAAGAACTTCCATCCCCACCCTAGCACCATTTCCATCACGTCCAGCCCCACACAGGTTTTCCTTCTGCCCTCCTTGGAGTTATCAGGGCTCTATGCTCTGTAAAGCTCCTGGGCTGCCCCATTTGTTTTCCCATCCCATGAGCTTTGGTTGCTAGGCTGCCAAGCTGCAAACCTTTCCTGCATGCTGCTCCACCCCACTCAGCCCAAAGYCAAACCTGGCTGCCTTCCCCTCCCAGCCAGGTCCCTTGGTGCTCCTGAGCTGGACTGACTTGGGCCAGCTGCCCTCCCTACAGTGGCACTGTCTGTGATGGCATCTCCATGCATTTCACTGCACTGGCTGCAGGCAAGAAGTTTCAGATGGGAGCTCCTTCCCTCTGCTGCTGACACAGAGTAAGACCTTTATTTTTAATTTACGCTTTGGTGCACTGGCAGTTAGATTAGAGGTCATCATTGCTATGAACAACAGGAGATACGCCTCCTCCAACTTTAAATATAAAGTTCTGTATTTAGGGAAACCGATGTYTTTTATAATACTAGGAGTGCACTCACAGAAGGCAAGTATGACTAATATAATATTGTCCATAACAATAAGTGAAATTTTTTTTCTGTAAAACTGTTTTGTTCTTTTTTTTGGGAAAAAAAAAAACTGAAGGGGACCTGACCAGCAATTTCTAAATTAAAAAAAAAAATAATTTTTAAAGCAAATTCCATTAAATTCATCCATTCATAAGCACAGGTCTCTTACATGCAAATATCTCATACTTAGTCACCTAGTTGCACCATTTACRTATTTTCCTTCCTCCTAGTATTTTGTGAACTTAATGTAATATCCTCTACCACATGGGTAGAGAGTAAATTGCTGACTACCACTTCACTTATAAGCAGGTTCTACAGCAGAAAATATCTCTTGAGGTTTTCCAGTTGCTCATAGTTTGATTTGGCAGGACACCTTAAAACACCACTCGTTACAAAACAAAAATTGGTACATATGTTTGTAAACTTGCTCAGTTCTGCCCCATTGTTTTAGAATTTTTGCCTCTTTTACTCCTGTACYGAAACAACAAAACTGAAGGGAAAAAAAGAGATGTTTAACATRTGTCATTCAGCCAAGCATATCGCAAGATGTGGTTTTTATCTCATGATATGAGAGGGGAAAGACGATAAGCAGAGGTGCACAACAAGTAGATCCCTGGATTTAATGGCACTCTGAAATCAATCTGTTGCCTTGCAGGAATACACAAACCTCTCGGGAGGCTTTTCTTGTTGCAAGTCCGAGCTCATTCAGATAGGACACAGAAAATGGTGAATGGGTCAGSAGTAGTCTCAGCATCGAGTCAAGATATAAATCTAGTGGGATAGTTGGGGTTTTACTGTAATGCAACAAGGAAAGGCCATTGAGTTGCATCATGYTCACCATTTTGACCTTAGTTAGCCTTTTCCCTCTCTTCTGAGGCAATGGCATCAAGTAAAAAAAAAAGGATATAGTTTTCCTGGATGAGCTGTGCTGCGTCTGTTCCCTCATTGATCCTAAAGCACCTTGTCCTGCTAAAGGAGCTTCTGCCTTTCCAAGTGACGCTGAGCCTTATCAGTCCGCCTCAAAGGCACTGTTTGTGGCCCCCAGGTACTCTGACTTCTTCTTGTGCTTCATCCACATCTTCCTCAGGAGGCTGGGTGTCCCGCACAGGCTGCCTCCTGTCAGTGGCAGGGAAGCCTCTGCTCCTGGTGGCAGGGCCAGGTCATACTCTGTTGTCTTCCTCCAGCACTGCCTGTGGCTGACAAATAAAGCACAGATGTGCACAAAGCGCTCCTGCTCGCCTTTCTTTCCTGCTTCCAGCCGCTCAGAACCAAGAGCTGCCTGGCTGAACAGGTCTGTCCGTGCCTGGCCCATTCCAGCCTGGAATGAGCAGGGGCTCTGGATGCTGCAGCTGCCAGTGCTCAGCTCATTCCCTCACTGTCAGAGGGGACACTCACACTATCAGAGGGGACACTCACGCAAGTGACGGGCTATAACTGGGGCCACTCTAAGTGCATCCTCTCCAGCAATTGGCACCCAACAAGGAGCAGGTGGATTGCCCAAGCAGACAGCTGGGCCCTTCCACCAAAATCCCACGGATATAACTTTTTTTTGTTTTTAAATTAATTACATTATCTAATTACATTTTAGGGTAAATATTACAGACTTCTTAAGGGGGAAAATACTTATATTTTGAATTAATTTTTTTTTCTAGTGATAAAGTAGAGCTGTAATGGGCACTGAGGCAGCTGTATAAAAAGCTGTGGCTGATGATGAAATCAGCAGATCCTTTACCAACCTCTCCCTGCCTTTGGGAAACAAGAGGCATGGCTGCAGGGTGGGAAGGGACTTACTCTTCCGTGGAAGTGCGGTCGCGTGTGGGCGAACCCGTGACAGCCACAGCTTTCACTGTGATATGGGCAACTGGAGATGGAGGAATCTGTGGGAGGATAAAGCACAGCATTAGGAAATGCCACTGATGAGCAGGGACACCAGTTCATCTGAGGAAAGGGGCTGTTCTAAGAAAACCGATAAATACTGTAAATCTCTTAACAAGAGAAAGCAGGTTACGGATTTGCCTGCCCAACTCTCACCCACACAATTACCAGCTGTTCACGTGAATGTTCTCACTGAGCTCAGCACAGGACTTGTATGAGTAAGAGTTATACCTCCCATCAAAGAAGGGAGGCTTGCAGAACTTYTCATTCCCTATTTTTTATGTTTAGCTTCCCAAGGCAGTGAGGTTTTGTGCAGACTGAGCAGCCTGCCTCTTGCAGGTCCCACCTCTACGGCTGCCTGGGAAGCAGATGTCTCAGCCATCCCAGCTCCTCGAGCATTCAGGGATGTTTCCCTGTTTTGTTGGGCACTGCTCTGCTGTGTGGGGGCCCTGGTTATGCTCCAGCTCTGCCACAGCCCCACTGTCCACTTCCTCCTTGTCTTATTTGATCATAAGTTGCCTGACAGAATTGAGTCACACTTTCCCATAAAAAGGTCACTGAGAATAGCATATCSTCCAAGACTGTAAGCTAAAGTGTGAGTTGCCCAGAAACAGAAAAAAAATATCAAAAATTGTGAGGTGATCTCATTATTTCAGGCAATAAGCACACTTACTGATTTTACTGGCAATCCTGAAAAAATTGTTCATATTATTGTCACTACCATAACTGGTCTTAAGCTTTCTAGGGCTATTTCTCCTAGGATTAATCTGAGACTGGATACATTTAGGTGTGTTTTAAAAGTATCCTAAGACTCAGAGATGTTTGAAATCACCTTTGCAAGCATCCTTTGAAATGMAGCTATGTTAATTATTGCCAGGTTCAATTAGTTTCATTATACTGAAAAACATTCGTTTTAACCATCCTTAAGTATTGTATTGTCATTTTTCTTAAGTGTAGCCCGGCTATCAGCTAGCAAGTATGCTGCAGCCATCCAAAAGAGCCTCTGAAGTCATAAAGTTTGGATAGCATGGCCTGGTGTTGGCCAGAAACTATTCAAAAGAATCTTTTCCCTTTGAAAACTTAGTTTTAATTAAATGTAGATTTCAAAATTGGTTTGGTTTTTTTTTTTTTTTGGGAGGGGGATGGTTGGGGAGGGATTGTAAGACAATGAAGGGAGGGAGAACATTTTTGACCAAAACATTTTTACGGTCCATTAGAGAACACATTGTGGGATTTGTATGATAATTTCCCCATCAACTCTTTATTGACGTTTCTGACTCCTCTTGCAATTACCATGTCAGGTTGGCATTCTGGAGAACACAAATCATTTGATGCTTGTTCCACGTGGGAATTTTTTTTTTCCCGTTTTGTGAAATTCCCTGAGAGACAAGAGGTTAATTCCTCCCAGCTCTTGCAGGTGGCTGAGCACCCAGAACAAGAGCCTGCCTACTTCCATCCCAGCACTCTTCCCGGTTCCTGAGGGGCAGTCAGCTGTCCTATGCCAGTCTCTGCTCCCAGCTGAAGGATTTTCTGGCAGGAATTGTGTTTCAAGCTTTAACAAAGGCTGTGAAATCTGCAGGTGTTGTAACAGACTGACATGCTGCTACTGTGGGATGTGCTGACAGGTACAAGGTTTTCAGATGCATTGGTAATTGRTCTCTCTCTATTTGCTTACCAAAGATTTTCCATCCAACAGGTGATTATAGGACTTGGGCGACTCTCGTTCAGTAATTCCCACTGCAAAGCAAAAGAAGCATGATATTATCTGCAATTATCTCATTGGCATAGCTTGTATGAAAAATCTCCTTCCATGCAGTAAAACTCAGATAAGGACTGAGCCCAGATACAGGTTACAGTCYCACCAGATTTGATTATAGCCAAAAGCACAGAGTTTCCTTTGCTAYGACCATCCCTTGTGATGTCAGAATAAGTGAGTGTGGAATTGCTTAAGTCATTCTGGAAAGTCTCTCAACTCCTTGCTCCCGGACTTTTGAAATGATATGAAGAACTGCCCTTAGCAGAACAAGTCAGATGGGAGCCCTTTCCCCCTTTGTAAACCCTCACATATCTCTACAGACAAAAAGCCCAAACGCTGCTCCTCAGACCCCACTGCAGGTTTGTCCTGCCTAGGAGATCATTCTCTCTTTTCTGGATTTCCCTGGAGAGTTATTTTAACCTGGGCAGAGATGTGTCTGCCCTGTCACAGGGAGGGCTTTCCACCTTTCTGCCTGTGGCTGAGTGACAACTCTCTCTGCTGTCCTCAGCTCTGAGGGTTACCCTTCAGTTCCAAGTAATTGCTCATCTGATAACTTATCTATGGATAAATGCTCACTGACAKTCCTGCTCACTGTGCCAAGGAAATAAATGAGTGAGGGATGCCAGATTTTTTCATGAAGCCAAATCCTCCTGTTTGGCTGTGGGAATGTGGACCTCCCTACTGCTGTGACCAGTGGAGTATAAATAATGGCAGCAAACATGGAAATAGCCAGGGCGCTGCTTATAAAAACTGTCTTCTCCTTCTGGGGGCAATATTTGACTAAGGTAAATATCTTCACCAGCTCCTCGCTTCCCTCTCCACCCCCCTCCAGTAATTCCATTAGGTACCTTACTGTATCCCTCACGTCAAAGTTAATGCAATTACCTCCTCTCATCTTGCATATTAGCTACTAACAGTACTCAGCAAGAGGATCCAGGCATTCAGYGCTTCAGCCAGTGCCCAGATTTTTTATTTGGTTTTGTTTTCTCTTATGTTGTCTGATTCTTTCCTTCAGCCCTTCCCTCTTAACAGATACAGAAAATGTTCTCGTAAACTTTTAGCAAAATATCTAAGCAAGAGAAAGTCCTCACGGATTCAGGATGGTGGTTGCTGGATGAGTGTGAATTCCACTTCCAGAAGTGCCTTCTCACATGCTGGAATGGACTGTCCTGCTTTGCTATTTGTACAGGATTTCTGATGCTGGCAAGTAACCTGCTGATGGCCTCATCTGTGTTCTTTTGTTTGTTTATGTTCTAATTTAAACTCAGTTTCCAAGTTMTGCCTGATCATTTCCCTTCCTTCCCCTTTGAGACCCGTTTTCCCCTTTTCTGCTCTTCTTTTTAAATTCCTACAGCTTTTCTCTTGTTTACACCTCTCTGTCATCCTTCACCTTTCATCTCCCCTAGCAGCAGAGACCAGCAGTCCCTACTTTCTCCCTCTCAGGTTCTCTGCCACCCTTACCCTGCAGTCAGTCCCAGCCACTCCTCCTCCTCTCTACTCCAGTCCCGAAGCTCCAGCTCTTTGTACAGCCACATCTTGGCTCTGGTCCTGATTTGAGATCTTTCCTTATGGTCCCAGGCTCAGTTTCCTCCTCCCCAGTTTCCCAGGCTCTTGTCTGGTGAGTGTTCCTGATGGGATGGCTTTTGTGCAGGGTGGCTGCAGACCAGCAGTGCGAGAGACATGCACCCTCACGGACCTGATTTAGGGATTCAGCACCTTTTAACACCTAAAAGTCCAATTTCTCTTGGAAAAACATGCCATATGGGATTTCTTTAAAGGCRTATGGCTTGACTGCATCTGGGTGATTTTTGAAAGGAGAGCAAAATATGTTGTTTTTGATTAAAAGGCCATCCCATGTGAAACTGCATAGCCCTGCTTCAGCTTCAACCTTCCAAACATAACACAGGAATGTTGAAGGAGCTGAATGACCACTCTGTTTGTGTTTACTCATCTCCTTGGTTTTGTATTGGCAAGCTCTATTTTTCCTTCACGGTTTCTCACAAATATGCTGAACAAGTTTTGGTTGGAAATGAAATCAGGTCTGTGGCTGACATCCATAATCTGAAATTTTATCCCAAATGATTATGTTCTGGCTAATTCTAAACAGCTGAACGGGGATCTTACATAATAAGATGACTCAGGCAAACTCAGTAATTCACAATTTATCATCTCTAAAATGTTGTCAGGGAGTGTTTATGACTCTGAATAAAAGCGAGTTTATGACTCTGAATAAATTGAGCAATGCCACGGTCATTATCTCATTAATTCCACTGGATATTTTAAGCACAGAATTATCCTCCAGGTGCATAATCACGCAATAATTCACCGCAAAGTGGAAGACTGCAATATCCAAAAATGTTCCACAGCCAATAAAGCTTTCTCCCCGGACTTACCGTGCTGGGCAGTGCCCTTGGTGGGGCAGGGTCCCCTCTGCCCGCCCTGCAGGCAGCCCACGCCCCGCGCCTCCTCCTCGCCCCTGGCCTCGTACAGCACATGCAGAAGGTCACCCTGGTGGGGCCGGCGCTCYGAGATGGCCACGACCTACAGGGGAGAGCAAAACCACCCTGTCACACCCGCCCTGGGGATGGGGAGGACTGTCCAGGTCATGGGGGAGCTGAAAGGCTGCTTGTTCTTCCCACTGCTTTACTGTCACCAAAGTGGGTTTTGTCAGGTGGGGACTCTGGGGTTTGTGGGATTTTGTTTGGCTCCAGCTTCTGTGCATGAAATGTATAAGCAATGGGAAAATCCTGCTGGATCTTTCTGAGATCTAGCTACTTCATTGCATCTTATTGGATTCTCCTTTGGAGACTGAAATGTGCTCCYTTCCAAGCTCTCCTGAACAGGATATGCCTCTGAGACAGCTCAGATTTGATTTCTTCTTGCCTCACATATTGGGCAATCAGTCAAATTTACACAATGTGAATTACAAATTTGTTTTTGTTTCCTCGTGGTCTCTCCTGTCTTTTGGACTTGCTTACATTTTTTACCTGGTAAATGACTACAGAGAATAGGAGGCAGTGAGGAATTGTGCTCCTAGAGATTAATTTTCACAAACATTACCTCATGCAAACAAAACTCACTGACAGCTGCAACTTGGAGTGCCAGCCCCCCTTGTGTCTCCAACAGTTCCTGAAAACAAATGTGAACAAAATCGTGTTCTTTTCTAATCATTTATGACTAAGCCATGGCACTCACTGTGCTGCCACAGGCAACTGGGGAAGCCAGAGCTAATGTGAGTTCGAAAAAACAGGGATGTACCTCATTCGTCAGGATTGTTACCCAGGATGGTCTGGAACGAGTTTTCTCAAGAAGATCAAAGTTCCAGCAGCAGGGAAAGAGTGTTTCATACTTTGCTGGGTATTTTTTTATTCTTCCCTAAAGACTTGCTGCTGTCACACAGAGAAGCACTTAAACAGGATGGAGATCCAAACCAGCAAGGAAACAAGACACATGGCAGCTATTCAGGCTGTTTCCYATTAGACTTGCTTATGTTGGAAGACCATGAGAAAAGCAGCTCCTTGCATCTGATGACTGGTGGCTGCTGTCTGCATGTTTTAGGTATAAATATAGTTATTTTGTCTCAAGACTGAGACCAGCAAATGACCAGCCACTACTGGCATAGCAAAATCCCTAATTCTACCTATTGCTCTGCCTTCTAACACACACTCAAGATAAAAACAAGACCCCATTCAAGCAGGTCCCCTCATGCCAAGTTGTTAATTTCCCCTAATTAAATTTTAATTCAGYGTGCCATTAATCTGCAATATTCTGTGTATGTGGTTTTTTACAGACATAAAACACATGCAAACCCACGTTTTGCAAAACAGGAATGAAAAAAAATCCCAACCTGACCACTTCTAATTCTTTTGTTTCAGTGTGCCTTCAGGAGTCTGGAGAAGGCTACATGACTTAAATCCTATTGACTGCTAGGGTGAGGAGCAAAAACTGCCCAACAACAGGCAAAAATTCCTCTGGAAAAAGCAGGTAAGGCAACCAAAGCCTAATCTGAGTCTCAATAGGGGTTTTCTCCTATTTCTGTGGATTTCAACACACAGCCTAACACAGCCCGTGTGCTGTAAGCTACTTAAGGTGGTGCCCAGCGTTAAGTTGAAGGGACTGCTAATGTCCTTGAAGACAAGCACATGCTAAAGGAGGCTGCAGCAGCTTCCCAGCTCTACTGATGACAAATCTGAAGCTCCAACAGAGCCGAGCCTAAGCATTGCTCCCATGTTTCAGAGACGAGGGTGGTGCTGGTTGTGAGAGGCCTCCTGTTGCTGCTGGAGCTGTTGGCATTGGCTCCCTCCCAGCTGCCCCTGGAGCAGCTCCAGCACCTCCCCAGCCCYGTGCTGCAGCTCCCTGCAGGCTCCTGTGCCCACACAAACCTTGCAAGCTGCTTACGGGGACATCACCCCCTTCACCACAGTGACACCGGTGAGGGCACCTGGCTTCAGTGCTAATGTGATGAGACTGTGGCTGGCAGGGGTCTCTAATGACAGTCCTTGGAGTCTGCCTCATGTGAACCGAGCTCTTCCAGCTTTCAAGGAACGCCACAAAGCTCAGCTCTTCCCACTATCTCTGGAAAAATGCCCAGTGCTCTTGGTCACACTCAGTCTTTGCTAGTGTGTGACAGAAAACCCTCATCAACCTCATCATCAACCCTCTGCTGCTGAGACACCTGAGGTCACTTATTTTGCATTGTCATGGAAAGAGCATTTTTGGTAAGTAGGATGCTGGCTGCAGTCACCTCTAATCCTGAAAGTGGCTTATTTGATCAGTGTAAACCACATGGACTTGAAACTTAACACTGTACCTACGTGTTGCACAGGATGAAATATGGCTTGGGGAAAAGAAGCAGGATTTTTTATCTTGATTAATGGCAAGGATTATTTAGGGACATTGTCTGTATATTTTTGAGATTCCTTGTTCTGTGTGATGTCAGTAATGCCAAAATGCCTTCAAGCAGCAGAATCTGTATAAATAAGTTACAGTGCCATTTTCCTTGCTGGAGACAGCAGTGCAATCTCTGTAGCACATCTTCAGTGAACATCTTTGCAGCATTTGGTTGTAGCACACTTTGGGAGTTCCTTATATCCCGATCTGAGATTTCATTGTGACTCTGGCTACCTCACCCATTACTGTAATATGTAAAGACTTATCTAGGTCAGGAAACTAAACCTGCTGTAGCTCAGTTTTGATCTAAAGTGCAGCTGACATTTTTCTAGGGTACCTGGGGTGAGGCAGAAGGATCAGCTGGGAGTCACTTTTCTTTTCTAGACATAGCAGGAAATTTAAATCTGTGCAAATGGCAGAGTCAGCCAAACTATGCAGAATTAGCAAACTGCTTTCTAAAATCCAACTGCTTTGAGGAGCTGTAAATCCTTTGACCGGTTCAGTGTGTTTGCAAGACACTGACCCTGAAATCACAGCTCAGAAAATTCTCTTTTTATGGACTTTGCCATGCACATGAGAGCACTGAGGCCTGGCATACCCACTGTTGGAATTAGCTGTATCAAGAGGGAAGGGGCACGGAGGATACAGGACTGTTACAGAGATGCTGTTCCAGCCATCCTGATCCTGGACTTGAAATCCCACTGCCAACCAACAGCCATGCAGAAAAGGTGAAATTAAATATCTGGCTTTGGATAAAAATCTGAAACTTAGAATCTGAACAACAAAGTGCTTGTTAGTGGAGAAAATTCCAGATTCGTAGACTTAAGTTCTTTTTGATGGTCTTGTGCTGAGCAAATTTTTAATCTGGCAGCTCTAGCATGCACAGGGGTATTTTCCACTTTCTTGCAAACTGGCCAGGTACTGGTGTCCAGACAGTTCTACCCAAGGGATTTTGGGGGTAGAAGAAGAAGGAAAGGGAAGAAGCTGCTATAACTGGAACTAACTCTTAATAGGGTAATAGGAACTACAAATATAGTGGTGAAACATACAGCTGAAAAAAAAGGTGCTTTCCCCTTTCTGTCACCCTTCCACAGTCATTATCATGCTTTTGGGATGGCTTCTTGAATGCAATGGAGGTTACCCCCCCACAGTCAGTAATTTGAATGTTAAATCACTTAATGCTACACTGCTTGAGTATTTCTACTGTGAAAAAAAGGTCTGGCAGATGTCCACGTTGGTTGCTATTTTTGTCCTGGCCAAGGATTAAAGTCGTGCATCCACTGCAATCACCAGAGCAGAAGATTTTATGTTAGCTGAGGCATTTTTACAGCTCTGACTGCAGGTGCAGATGTAAAAGTGAAAAATAAATAATCATTCTGTGACTTTTCTGTGGGTCTAGAAATTGGCAATCACAGCTCCCTCACAGGCATGTCTAATCCAGTTTGTGCAATTTATTTCAGTGCTCACTTATGAGCTGTAAGCATCTGCATTCCACTGAACAAGGGGAATGCCTGAGAGTTGATTGTGCCAGTCATTTTTTTGGGAGCCATCCTTGTTTGTGTGGCTGGAGCTGCAGACCATTCCTCAGGCCTGGTGCTCCCACTGCTAATATGATGCTGCCTGCATCATGACTAAGAGCCAATCAAAGGACATCCTTAATTGGGGCCAGGAAGCCCCAAAGGAAAAAAAAAACAAAACAATCCTCTTAAAATACAGCAACAAAATTGGGACTTTCTTATCTTATGTTCTTAGGCCTTTATGGGTACAGTGCTGCCACAGCAGCTGATCCAATCCAAATTAAATATTAGATGTTTCCATTTAGTAGAAACAACTATCTGCTGAGATTTGGAACATGATAACAGACATGCCCTTGATTTTGATGAAAGCCAGCTGAAAATTTTCAGCTGAATACTTCTATGAGAAATTTTGTCAAAAATCACCCGCAATACCGGAGCATTCTGTTTCATCAAGTCAGAATGATTCACTTTTGGTTTGGACTCTTCTGCGGGTTTTATATTGCATGGAAAACAAAATGTAGCAAAGGTTTAACAAATAAAAGTGGGGTATCTCAAAATGGCTTATTTTGAGTAACACTCCAGCAGTCTGACTCCTCCTCATTTGGAACCAAGAGTAATTTTGAGATCTCAGCCTGAGTTATGGGACAAAACCAACAAAACCAGGACTGCCACAATTTGGGAAAATATATTCATGCATAGTTTCTATCCCAAAAATGACAGACATGTTAGTGGCTCTTCCTGTCCTGTGACATGCTGGGATCCCTCCCAGAAGTGGGGATGGGAGTGAATGTGGTGAGGTTTTTTTTTCAGTGCACACATCAGTTTGGTAAGCAGGAGGACCTACGGTTCCATGGGGAGATCATGGAATCAGGAATACAAAGAAAATGCTCTCTAAAAATGTAGGAAAAGGCATGGAAAAAGGAAAGGCCATGGAGCAAAATACTTCAAYGAAGTGCTAGAGAAGAGACAGGTCAGTGGTGAGAAGAAGTGCTTTGGCAGAGAGTCTCAAAATTTGTGAAAAGTGCTTTGATATGCTGGAGAGGAAGAGACAGTCCCTCCTGCAAATCAGCTGAAAGGATTGTGGAAGGGGTTGTGAACCGGTCAAGTGGATTTAAGTAGGGAAAACTGTCTCTCAAGACAAGAAACCTCACATCCATGTGTGAAGGCACCCAAACTTGCAAGACATTTACTCAGAACATGAAAAATGCTCAGTTATTTTAATTAGAATTTGTTCATTCTAATTCAGGGGGTACCTTGTCTGCAGGGAGGGGGTAAAGCTCCTCTGTGCCCTCTGCACTCAGGCTGAGGCAAGGGCACACCAGCACTGCWGGGACCAAGGGACAAACATCCTCCCTGGGTCTCTCAGTGCCATCCTTTAGGGTCAAACTTACAGTCCGCTGCTTTGAGTTTTTCTCCCAAACTCCCTAGGATGCTGGCTACTTGATTAACATGTAGATGTATTGATATGATTTGTCTACTTTTCATTCCTGCATGTCTCTCTGGAATTATTGTGAAGTCCCTATGGATAGGAATCMCATTTGTGATTCCTTCAGATGGCCCGTGTTGGTAAGCCACTATGTTCAGTTTGACTGGCTCTGCATGGCAAGACTGTATTCTTTTTTTATTTCAAAGCACTTTTGTGAATAAAACCACAGCTTTACAGAAACTCCCCTTTCTGTTTCCCACCCCACTCCCTGCATCAAACACTGATACACTTCTTTACCCTGAAAAATCCGTTTCCCATTTACTCACAATGCTTTTAAAGGTAAGAGTAGGCAACTAGAATTTAAAAAAAAAAAAACAACCAAAAACCAAACCCACTGAAAAAACAGGAGAGGAAAGGAGATTTTTCTTACACTCTTTGCTAGGATGTGCTGTTTGGCTCGTCTTCGGGCAGGACTACATGCTGCAAAAAGAAGAACAGGAACATGGTCAGGAGGCCATGGAGGTGGACACTAAAGGTGGACACTAAAGGTGCCTCTAAAAGTCCTCTGTAAGAGTACACTGCGGGCATGGTGGGGAGAAGGGAAAAAAGAAAGGGTTTAAGGAAGATTCCAACTGGATCAATCCCAAAAAAAGTCCTTTTTAAGGTCATCTCAGAGACCATGCTCTAGCTATACAATACAGACATTTATGGACATGGGGCAGCAGCCTATCCCAGGTTTCTGCACCTCTCCCATAGACTTCCATGAGAAACACTCCTCCTTTCCCAGTTGTGATCTGGCCTCCCACCTGCCAATATTTCAGTAGGAAATGAGCAATGTATACATTAATATGGAGACTACTATGATTTTATCTCATTAGGGACTTTATCAATAGGTTAAAACTCCTTCACTTTTACTTCACGATGTCCAAAGCACAATATTTGCACTTATCCTCATCTTTTCTTTTCACTCCTCAAAATGACCCATTCAGTTCTTCAGCTTGGGACATTTTGCTTAAAGTCTGTTTCTCAATTTTAYTCCTCAGACCCATAAAGACACCAAAATCATAGGACCACTCTCCAACAGACACACGGGATGCCACGTTCACACGCCAAGTTTTTGTCTGGACTGAAGCCATTGGTTTTGGGTGATGGTTTTATTGGACTAAGTGAAGGCTCTTTAAACTCTTGTYGTTTGAGTTAGACTTGAAACTGGCCTGCAAGATTCTGTGATACTCCCAGCTCTCCCTCTCATCATGTTTTACCCTGCCTCGTGTTCAGGCTACAGGAGCTGCAGGATTTAGCAGCCAGTGACAGAAATAGGCCTGCAGAAAGCTGCCAAATGTGGAGAATTAACTCCAATTCTGAAGGCTGACCCTGGGGGCAAGGCACGTGAATGGGGGTTTCCTATTCAGGCTCTGTGCATAATCCAGAGGCTTTGATGAGCCAGGAAGGTTTGCTATAGGATGMTGGGTGACTCCTACTCCCCAGGTGAGCTTTCCTCTACGTGTCTGGCATACATTTAACTCCAGTTGCAGTGCTTATCGCTGCTCTSTTTTACTGTTTGCAGAGTTTTGGAGCTGTGGAAGCAGCTGGAGGTCATCCAAGGCTGCTCATGACTGCAGCCAAACTCCTCTCCTCAGATGGCAGCAATAACAAGTGACTGGGCTTTCCAAGGCTCCGGTACGGGCAATGAGAGCAAAGCCCCTCTTCCTAGACAGCTTGTGTACATCTAACAACCATCCCCCCACACCCAGTGAGGGTACACCTACTGAGCATTAGGACCCCACTGGGGAGAAGATTTTGGCTTGTGCTGTGCCTGTAGTGAAACAGGACAGGAGCATGGGAGGGTGCCTGTGAGCAGCCCATTGCAGCACAGGGCACCTCCACGCTGAACTCGTCACAAGTCACTTATCTGCCTGCCTAGACTGTGCTAAGCTGTCAGTGCGATTACAGTCTGTTCTGCACGGTGTGATATCCTCAGGCATCCTTACTGTCTTCTCCTGCAGGACACATTTTATATTTTAAACCAAGGTGAGTGCRGGATGAAAGCCAGACAAACATAAGGAAGGTGGTTTGGTTTTTTAAACCCAGGATTATGCTGTRAGTTGTTTTTGAAGCTGCTTCCATCACCTTTACTTCCAAAATTTCATTGTGTGAGGACTGAGCTAATTGCTCACAAGCAAAATGCTCAGGTGCAGAAAAGTTTAGTGATGCAAGGAATTATCTTTTTGTCTCTCTGGTATTTTAGGTATTTTACCAGACAGCGTAAAGAGTACAGTTTATAGAGATTTCTACCAGAAGCAAGTGCTGTTGTGCTGTTACAGCTGCTACCCAGGCTGGTGCACAAGGAACAACACACAAATATGCCTGACAGTAATAAATTTGCATATTTTCAGAGTACATATGATCCACAGTCCAACTCAGTGCCTGTCATCCACCAGAACGAGTGGCAAAAGGCTTACAGGGGCTGGAGAAAGGCAAGGCATGAAAGGGAAGTCACAGCACCAGCAAACATGCAATTACTTGAATAGGCATTGAAAGAAGGGTGAATCACAGAGGTAGCCAGAAGTGACCCACTTGTGTGGGAATACAATGGCAGCAATGCAAACAGTGGGGCTGCAAGGCTGTCCCTGCAAACATGAATTTCTGCAGAGAGCAGGAGGAGGAAGAGAAGAACAAATCCTTGCAGATGATGTACGTGGATTTTGTCTGCAAAAGGAGGTTTGTGTGTACAGCCCGGCTTTCGGACAGCAAATACAATTACAGTGATGGTTCACTTAGTCATTTCCACTTATATTCCAAAATTAAGCAGCTGAGAGCTCATGCTCGCAGCTTCAAGTAAAGATCTGATCTGGCCCCACAATTTGTTTTCCCTGCTTTCCCCTGCTTTCTTGTTGCTGAAATATGCAGCCATTGAGTTTAAACTAATTTGTTCAATCAAATGCAGGCTGGGCTTTGTCCGGTTCTTACTCTTCATTAGAAGCAATTAATGTTAATCATGCATTCATTTCCAGGGCATGGCTTTGGAAATGTTCCACTTATTGAGCCAGCAGACTTAAATTCAACATTCATGCACTTCACCCACTTCTAACTGCTCGCAGAACTTCATTCTCTTTTCTATTACACAGAACAGCCACACAGTTGCAAGCTGTCACTTTAGCAGTTACCTCATAGGTACAGCAACACCGATCCCAGATCTCCCAATTTTTGCCACAGCAAAGATTTTACAGAGCCACAATATTGAAGCACCTGCACGGATTAGCTTGAGAAAGCAGCAGTGAGTGCTGTGCTGCAGGCAGAGCACGGCACGGCAGAGCAGATGAACTCGCTTCAAACATTTCCCCGTYGCTAAACATCCCATCCCTCTAAAAGACAACACCGTAGCAGTTGTTAGATTGTAATGTACTCACATTTGGATGAAATCACAGTGGTGAAAACTTCTAAATTTTCATCGCTGCAGCTGTAAATCTGGTGCATTTTCCACCTCTCCCTACTGACTGCCTTTCAGCTTCATGCAACCGCTCTGAACTTCTGGTAAATAGGTTTCACTAATCCAATCTGGCTCTGTGATCATTGTCCAGATCTACAAAGGACAGACTGATGCTGTGATCTCATCTCATTCCATATTCTTCATTGCAACATTTTCTGCTCCCATCTGCCTTTCTATGAATAATATTAACACAAAGATTTAATTTAGCTGTTACTTAAGACTCTACTCAGATAGGAGCATTTTATTTTACATTTCCTTTTGCCAATGTGGAGAACCCTCTGCAATAAATAGCTAATAATTAAAGTCTAATCTACAGGCAAACAGAAGTATACAGAAGTACTGCAAGGATTTTTAAAAAAAAAAGTAGGGTTAAGTGTGTACTTTAAAATATTTACATAGAAATTTGTTCCTTACATATAATGCTGAGATTATTCTAGGTGTATTAAGAAAATTTTTACCTTTTAATTTCATAAACAAATACTGTAATCCTAGGCGTTTCAAAGTAAAATTTCAAAATCAGATGTCTAAGAAAGGGCATATGAGTTGATGTGCACTGGTCTCTTTGCCCACTATGTTTCTGTGGCTGCAAAGGGAGGGAAGGTGGCTCAGTCATAAATGAGCTCCTGATTTGATGGCTCTGGGGCCTCACYCCATATTTATGCACTTCAATAAAAAGTCTTCTTGCCAAAGCTTTTAATTTCTTAATGCTCCCATCATAAATTGTTCCTTTCCACCCCTATGAGTATCAGCCCCCTCAACTTCTGGTGACTTAATGCTGCCATGGACACCCAAGACAGAAAATTTTGGCTTGCAGCCTCCAGCAACTGATGCAGTTGGAGCACTTTCAAGTGTGAATAATGATATTAAATTATATCAGTGTAATGAATAGCCTTCATTACTACCACGTGTGTGTCTAATTAACACAAAAACAAGTGCTGTCTTCTCCTATAGATGYCTGCCACCAACAGACCCAGATGGAAAGTGTCAGTGAACATGGGCTGTCACTGTCATATTGATGAATGTTTCTTATTTGAAATAATAAATATTGGTCAAATAGACATCCTGAGCCTGGAAAGCATTTTGGTTGAGTGGAAGGTGTCACTGTTTCAAGGAAGCAGTGAGCGAAGAGAAGCTGTTGTCACTTGTCACCTCCCAGGGCAGGCTCCTGCTGTCCAGGGGCAGCAAAGCCTTTGCGGGGCKGGGGGCATTGTCCCAGGAAGCCGTGCCGCGCTGGAAGCGGGCAGTGGGACGGCAATATAATCAACCAAAAGTTCAATTAGTTTTTGATTTATTGCGCCACATGTTCTGCTTGTATGACTGATGTCATTAACATCAGGCTCGGCTGGCGCATTCATCTGTCCCTGCCCGGCTGCCTCTGAAGGCGCACGCACTCAACAGATGGGGAGCTGCACGGGTGCGAAGGCGATTGTTTACCCCCCTATTGTCCCTGTGTCAAGCAATCAACCCAAATCCATTACCCACCGAGAAAAAGATCAGCGCACCGTCCATTCAGCGCTGAATGGGGCAGAGGCGGTTATGCAGGAGGCTTTAAAAGCTTTCAAAAGGATAAAAAAAGAATAATGAAGACCAACACTGAATAGTCGATAAAAAAAAAAAAAAAAGCTATAACAAATCTAACCCACCCTTTATTTCACCTTCAGCTATCCAGAATCCTATAAGAAGAGGGGCACTTTGGGATCTAAGTCATTGTTTTCCTAATTTTCTAGGTATGACCTGCAGATATTTTCAAATCATAGATGGGGTTAACATTAGAACAAGCATTGGGTGCTTCCTCCTTTCAGGGTTGGTGGGGATGTGGAAACTGCAGCGAGACTCTAGAGCTGGTGACCAGGTGCATTCGCTGCGTTACAGGGCAGGTGGGCTTTGGACACATCTTTACAAGGCACAGGAYGCTCTGGGGACAAATCATTGYACAGAGACCTGATGGAAGGCACTCWCGTCACTTCCAGACAGAAAAACAGGGCTCAGGAGGACAAATTTAACATGTCTCATCTGAGATCCTCATCTGGGAATGAATTCTGCCCTGCTCATGAAAGGGAGTTCACTTCTTCATTTTGTCCAGGTCTTACAGAGTAGTTGASCACTCAGGGTTTTGCACAGAATCTTAATGTGGCATCAAGAGAAGGACTGCACATATTAGGCTACTTTTTTTCTACTTGTCTGAGAGATATTTTGAGCAAATCTCCAGTGCTGGGTTTAGCTATGAAATAAATAGGTGTAATTATACCTGCCAAGGAATTGTGCTGCAAAGCTCAGCTGCATGCTACCTGATGAAGAACAGCAGGCAGTAATTTCAGACTTTGAGGAGAAWCTCTCCACAATGTCCAGCCTAGGAACTTGCAGAGCCACATCAGACAATYTTACATGGTATCTCCCTCCAGCTCCCTACTCACCCAGCGAGAGTCCAGTCTGTACAGGGGGGCAGAAAAACAAACAGTTTTTGACTCAGTGCATCTTTTTTTGATTCTCCAAACTACATAAAACATCCAGAAAACAGCTTCAGTTTTTTYTTCCTCTCTGCTAAAGTGAAGAATAAGCTGTTAACTTAATTCACATGGTGTCACTGCAGCCATGAGGAGACCCAAAGAACTTTTTGCACTGGGGYGTATCTTTGAGTGAACACTCCAAAGGGATCATGTGACATTCCAATTCCTCCCTGTGGGCTGTGATACAGCAGTTTTTCAAATATCCACTCAGTGTTGATAGTAAAGGATCAAAACCTTTCCTGGTGCCAGAACAAGGTTACCAAAGGTGAAGGGGGACAACTGAGAAGGAGGAGGAGGTGGAGAAGGAGGAGAACTCAGGATGCAAGAACAGACATATGSTGTCTGACAAAACACCCCTCTAACCTTATCTGCAGGTCTGGGTCAAGGAAGGTATTTRATTCTTGAGAATGTGTGTAGAAAAGACAAAAGGGTAAAGCAGAAGAGATGTTTGTTGAGGCTGAAAGAAAATAATTGCAGCAGAAGGCTCAGCAAACCTTGTAAAAATAGCAGAAAACCATATAAACTGGTGAAATGTCCCTCAGAGGAGGTGGCAAGGGTGTTTCTTCCAAGACTTGAATGTGTTAGGACATACCTGGAAGAAACTAGTATAGATGCTTGTCCTGGTCACCAGGTATGCAGAGCTGGAAAACTTTAAAGTAATTAAAAAAAAAAAAAAGTGTTACAAAAACTGCAATTAACTTTGAGTTATTTAAGATAAGTTTCAGAAACCTCTGGACATTATTTATCCTGGCCYCTGTGAACAAATGAATCCCTTTTCAGTGCAGCATTCTGCTTGTGAAGTTGGAGGAATGTGAACTGGTGCTCTCAGCATGTGCAAGGGGCATTGCCAAGGGATTCCCTGGCCCGCAGAGGACAGAGCTCTTCCCAAGGCAGGTCTCTGCCTTCTCCCTGGATCTTGTACCTTGTTGCATAAGAGGCAAATCTAATCTGTACTGAGCCACTTGAGCCTATTTCTTACTGTTAGCTGGGCAATATGATAAGGATAAACCCCAGGTATTTTTGGAATAGGATTGCGAACCAGAGGGATGCGCAGATAACCATTTAAAAATAAGATGGGATAAAACTGCACATGCATACTGCAGGCATCTACTCTAAACCACTTCTGCATGATGTGATGCCAGCAGCACTTTTTTTGTGGAAGGAAAATTGCTTTGTTTCCTTTTAGGGCCACAGAATTGCAACTGTAAATAACTGAACCAAAAAAGCAAACTACAAAGTGAGTTTTTCATACTCACTCCTATATATTCTCAAAATATTCAGTTATTTTTCCSTGAATGAAAGGAATAGAGAGACAGATCCATTATCAGTAACTACAACTCACAYTCGTAGCAGGCAGCAACATTAGTTCAAAATTCTAGTAGCAATGCATGGCTTAAATGCCTGTGAATTACTGAAAAATTTTCAATAGTGACATTTGAATTTGCATCTGTCTAGAAGCTGCTGTAACAGATTTTTCTGGGATGAGAATAAGATCAAGGCATTTGAAAAACATTTTGAACTTTAAATTCACTACAGGGAACCAGGAGACAGAGATGCAAGAATTGTACAGTTTGAAAAGATGAGTGCACAGGCTTCTCTGCTGATTGGGAAAGGAAATACCAGCCAGACCTAAAAATCAGGCTGAAAGCATCCCCCACTAGTAACAGAAAGATATGGCAGGATTCTGAAAAAAAGAAAGRAAAAAACCACCAGTCTGGTTGGCTTCTCTTCAAAAAGTTACATATAGATAATTGGGCATTCACAAATTTGGCTTAAGCCTGTAAAACACACTTGAGTAAGTCCATATGATGATTAGGTAGAAACACAATGCCCAGCACCACAAGGTTCAAGCCCTGCAGAGTTTGTGCCAGCAGCAGGGATTGCACTAAGCCAGTATTAAAGCCATGGCCAGGTTGAGCACGTGGAGGCTTAACAAGCTTTCATATACTGGTTGTGTACTGGTAATCCACAGAAAGCATTAAAAATGTCAACAAAGGAGCGATATGTCCAAAGCAGACTGTGACAACAATAGTTTATTTAGATGCTAATCTTTAATTACATTTGTCCTCAATTTATTAATTTTCCAAGCCAATTGGTCAGTGAGGTCTTTATTCCCCTGATAAAGCACAATGGTTTATAGATAGGGGYTTTTCACTCCCAATTTTTTCCTTTAGAAGATTTTAAGATTATTTTGACTATTGGATCCTGCTATAAACATAACAATTTTTGGGCAAACAAGCACTTTAATAAATGCTTGTCCTATGGTTTCTGGGTTTAGGTAGTGGTGGCCCTCTTGCTTCAGTTGCATACTGGGTCTCATGCCATATGCAGTAAAATCTACTCTTGGGTAACCAGGCACAAAATACTTAGGATTTCTCTGGTGGATAAGTMTAAAGAATAAGGCAAGCTGAACTGTCACCTTACATGTCTCTAGAGTGTCCTCACACAGCCATCAAGCTCCTTTTGCCACATGCAACACATGTGCTCTGTGGGGATGAAAGGTCTTTGGAGGGTATCAGATGGCATTGCCTCCTCTGGCTTAAGTGCTGTGTGAAAATGAGATTAAATTTAAAACAAGGACCATCATTATTTGGACTCAGAGACCACGGGACTAGCAACTTAAAAAATAGGAAGTAGAAGCTGCACTTAAGGCACAAAAGCAGGATCAAATTTTGATCCAGACCTAAGTTTGGGGCCTGTGTGAAGAAGCAAGGTAGCACAGAGATGGCACTGTGAGAGAGGAGGCTTCAGAATTGCTGTTTATTTGAAATGGGATGATTTTGAGGTATCTTTTGTGCAATCAGCATGTCAAATACCATAGAGCATACAGGTAAGAGTCTAGAGGGGGGAAACTCTGATGCCAATAATCCTAAAACACTTTTTGCCGAGATGAGGTGATTTATCTGCTTTCCCTGCTGGTTCGGTCTTTGTCCTCTYCACTGGCGCTGCCTGTACGGGTGTCAAAGATCTCCTGCTGTAAGTACTTGACTTGTTTGTAGGAATCTGATTAAAGTAGATCACCTCAGATAACAAGAGGAATTAATGCTGCAAATACATAGGAGAGGATTTTCAAGCTTATAAGCTACATAGAGGTCAGTACTTTTCAAGTCACGCAGCAGCCTCTGAGATATCTGATTTTCGCAGAACTGATGATCTTTACTTGTCCTTTTCCTCTCTCCTSTTAGCCTTTACACTTAAGCATTTGCCTTTATTAATTCAGTTCTACTTGTGATCAGTTGCTCAGTCCACCACTAGGAAAGTACTGTACAGAACTAACCCTGGGAGAAAAAAAAAAGGGAACAGGAAGGAGTTTTTGTGGGCCTTGCAATGGACACTGCATTTTCTCCTTAATAACTACGTAAGTCTAGATTCCTCATCCTTCAGGTTTTTACAATATTTTTAGAATGCATATTCTCATCTTAGATGTCCCCCTAAATTCTGATGTTTCTATATCCTCTTAACTTGGTCAGCCAAAAGCAGTAGGCTCCTAGATCCCAGTGCTCCAATTTTTTCTCTCTGTATCATGTCACCGTGTTATATACTCAGCCTCAACACCTCAGCTGTGAGCAACTGTTCTCATATTTCTGCACACATTCCAGCTTTTCCCAATGCCTGGCTTGCTGTGCATGCAGATGTCTCTGGTGAAGGACACGCTCAGACCTTCAGCACCCATCAGCCAGCCCTGCCCTGCCTTTGTTTGGCACATTGTGGTTTTAGCTCACATCTGTTGGGCAGACCCCCGAATTGGGCTTTATCATTGGTGACATTATAATTTCTGACACGAGAAGTCACAAACAGTYACTTTAATGCCAAAATCTGCCCACCAGGTCTGTGCTCAGTTTTATCAACTGAGGAGTCCTAACTTCAGGTCTTCCATTTAAAATACAAGTACAGTAGGTATGATGCACACAAGCTTGACCACACCAAGAACTAATCTTGGGAAATGGCTACATGAATGGGGACATGTCATTTAAGGATGTCCTAAATGCAAGTGAGTGTGCCTGGATGGGACTTGTGTGATCCAGAGGTGGGAGCAGAGGCTGCAGCCCTCCAGAAGGGAACACTGAGGTGCCACCGCTCACAGCATGGCACCAGCACGGCTTCAACCCTTCATGGAGAGGGACTGATTCATTGAAATACGTGTTACAGAGGCTCTGAGATTTTAGTAGTGCAAGGGAAATGCAATTCAGGCAGTTCATGTTAATTCCCATTTCTTGCTGCTTGGATAAGCACATGGTGACAGCTTTCATGATGCAGGGACCTGTCCATTGGAAAATGGATTATGACCACCAACTCTTGCACATAAACTACTGAGCAATCATCTAGTGGTCACTAGTGAGACACCACAGGTCTGTGCTGGTGACCTAGAGGTGAAATGACTTTCTCTGTCTTTCTGAATCCCTGAACATTGAGACCCTCATCAGGGGATATGCTCTAATCTATACCACCATTAATCTTCCTTAAGGTGAAAAGGTCAGAAGAGCAAGTTATTCAGTGTTAACTGTTCTTTTTTTTTTTTTTTTTTTTTTTTTTGCAGCAAAAAAGCTTCTTTTTTCCCAATGTTGTCTTAAAATATACAGCAATACTTAAACATCCAAACTTTCACAGTCATTTTTTGGAAGTGATGTCAGCTTTTAGATAAATGACAAAGACCATACACAGTGTCAGCCCCCCACAGCTGTGTCCATAGCCATAATAACAATGCCACACAATGTTGTCCTTAAATCCCATAAAGGCAAGGAACAATACCAGAGAATGAAGCGATAACGCATTGGAGCTGCTGACAATCAGTCTTTAACATGTGTTATCCATTTGACTGCAGGTGTAAATCAGCATTTCAATGTCAACTTGCTAATTTAAGGCTGTATGGTCAAACACCCAGAGTACCCCAGGAAAGCACAAGTGCACTGTTAAAGTAGGTCAAAGTCACTGCAAGGGAACACAGAGGAAGTTTCCATCAATAAACCAGTTTGGGCTATGAGATATGTATATCATGATAAAGTAATATTAGATTAAAATAAACATTTAATGGGAGCTCAGGCTACAGTGTGGCACAACCAGTATTCCTTTGCTGCTCAGTTGGCTCTGGTGGTGTGTGCACTGCCGGTGTGTGGCTGAGGAGCCAAGCTGTGTGGCTCGACAGGGTGACACGAATTGACATGTGAATTATCTCCAGAGGACACAAGTCACATTTCCTCTGCKTTCACTTAACTATGCCACCTCATGGATGTACATGAATTTTCCCCTTTAATTCCCATGTTCAGAGAAAGAAGGAAAATATCTGCTGCCATTTGTTGTACTTAAAGTTCTCTGAAAATGGAGTACATTTAACTGTTCAACAGAAACCAAAGTTTGAAAGTATTTTTTACATCCCCATCTCCTATTAATAGGAAAGCAGTTAACTTAAGAACCTGATTAACAGTCCATTGAGCCGTGTCAAATGGTTCTCTCTCTTATTATTTGGCTGTACAATATTTTCAACCAATGCACTCATGGCAGCTATTTCAGTGCTATGGGGAAAAAAAGAAAATTACTGGCATTTTAGTGGGTTAATGGAAGACTACAACTGGCAAAGTATAAAGCTACATTCAGAAATGTTACAYCTAAGGGAACTGTAGCATTCCTAATGATAATCCAGCTGTGGGGCTTTTTTTTCGTCTCACTTTCATMGAGAAATTCGAAGATTAGAAGCTTCTGCTTATTCTCATGGACCACTACACCTAAAAATTATGCACTAAATATTTCATAGCAAACRGACCCTGTGTGATTTCTCATATGTACACTGCAGGTAAAATGGCTTGAAARATATGCCTGTGCAAACAGAGCTGAGACCTCTGCAAATTTGTCGCCAACAGCCTTGCCACACCACTGCTCAGAAGAACATATTCTTCTAGGGGTGGCTAGGCAGGATGTCAAAGTTTAAATCAGATCTCCAGGCAGGTTTAGCAGGGATGGATAGGTGTGAAAGACCCTCTTCTCACTTCTCAGGGCTGTCACTGCAGCAGAAAAACAACTTGCACAATGCTGCAGTGAGCTACAGCTGCTGGAGACATCAGGAAATGGTGGCATCACTTTCTGCATTCACTAGCTGGTGCTTGGATTTAAATAAAGTTCATTTTTATTTAGGAAGCACGCAAGGATGCTCTGAGGAAAAATGGAGACCCTGTCTTTAGGCCTTCTGCTATGTTGCATCAGGTTGCCCTTGTCCCCTCTGCACAGACACGCTTAAAGCAGTGATGGATTTATTCGGTTGGAGCTGCTGAATCCAAGGCACACTGCACGTGTCCTGGAGTACAGTGATGCTTAAGCAGATTTACTCAGGGGTTATGGAAAGGGCCTAGACAGAGCGTGCCTGCATCCCTCAACCGTTGCTCTTTCTCATCCATTTTTTCAGGTCTCAGGGAAGTGGGAAGTCAATCACAGGACTGAAGACGACAGCCGTGGCACAAGACAACACAACAGGAATGAGCAGACACACCACCCTACCTGCAGTTTCTTCCAAGTATGTTCACAGCATGATGGTGAGAGTTTTTGAAGATTTAGGCATGTTAGCTACATATTTTTTGCTTCATTCTCTTTTTAACTGCTGAGAAAATCATCACTGTATGGGAAGAGGCAAGGGGAATGAGAGGATAGACAAACTACTGTAGCAGTAGTTTCTATAAATCCAAAGCAACAATCCTGCAGGCTCTACCTTGTGAGGAGAGTGGGTTTTCYATTTGGTACTATAGACAAAATTATGCCTGCTGGTAAACTATTTTTCACCAGTACTATATATGCACTTGTTCATACTTGCTCCCCTAAGYRAATCTAATCAATGTAGATGGACTGRGTGARCAATCAGATGGGCCAGGTTTTGGGTTKTGTTTAYCTGCAYRGAGCTCAGAGGATAGAGAGTKAAATGMKGCTCTCAAACTCTTTCAAACAAGCTTGGGTTTATTTTTGTTATTTGAATTTCAGCATCATCTAAAGTAACAGATCCATCACAGAAGGCTTGAATAACAGAGCAGTAACAGGAGACACAAGAACAAGCCTCCCAGATTTCACACACATGCCCAGCCACCRCTGGGCTCACACAATTACAGTCTAACCCAGATCCCCACAGAAATACCAGTACAGAGTAATTTAGAAAGATAATATGTGAAAAACCTCGTGTAACTCCAGTTGTGAACAAAACCACCACTGCCCAGAAGCCAGGATGCAACACTCTGTCATGCCATCACTATTTGAAAACCAGCAATCTGGGGCAACTTGACATCCTTTGGTTTTTCCTTAGAAAATTTCTACTAGTAACTAATATTTAGTGGTGGGGACTGATGTGCGTGAGAGAGATTTCACAGCCAGTGAAAGACCAGTTGAAGACCTTGATGCTGCCAAAGGGGTGTGGAAAACATAAATGACCCTTCTTACGGCACCATCTGCTTCTGTTAGGTGAAGCATTACGTAAACCCTTTGTCTCACGTGTAAAAAATGGGCATCTAAGAGGGTATGAGGTTTAYTTTAAAAACTAACAACAGCTGTGTGTTACCTGGAATAGGAAGTTAAGCATGAGGTTCTGTCAGTTGAAAATGCAGCCTGCCACACTGGCAAAAAAGGCAGATAAAASGTGTGCTGAAGAAGTGACTCTACCTCCCTAACTAACCCATCAAAGASCTCTGCTGCAGTGATGAAATCCCATGCTGCTCAGCTCCCCAGAAAGTATATTCTCTCCAAACATAGCATGGCTGCCATGAATTAGGGTCCCAGACAAAAAGACTGTCTCTTCATGAATCTGTACTGCTATAGGCTAGAGAAAGAAAGGAGTGGAAAGAAAAAAAAAACAGGCCAAAAGTTTATATAGAACCACAGAATGGTTTGGGCTGGAAGGGACCTTAAGGATCATCTAGTTCTAACCTCCCTGCTGTGGGCAGGGACACTTCACTAGACTGGGCTGTTCACAGCCTCAACCAGCCTGACTTTGAACAAAAGGGTTTGACAAGAGGTAGGGTTTTTTTTCCCCAAACATGGCAGCTTTGCACRTTATAATAAAGTAAATCCCTTGCTATTACAACATCAGCCTTCATGACAGAGGTACTTGTGGGCAATTTCAGCAGAGAGAAAGATTCAGAAGGACATGGAAATGAGTATCCCAGCAAAGGCTGAGACACATTGGCAGTGCAGTCCTGTGGCCACCAAACCCCTTCTGACGCTAAAAATAACCAGTCTTCAACCAGTATCCATCCACTTATTTTAACAGCACTGAAACAGATCCAGTATCAATATCCAGTACACATCTGTCYTCAGATTCCAGGACAGCACTGGTTTGACCAGACAAATACACAAATGCAAAGGGGCAAGCATAGAGCCTTCTACTTCAACAGGGCGACTGAAAAGTGCTCCCTCCCCAGCAGAAAGAAATGTGCACATCAGAAGTCACGGGGTTCTTCTCTCATTTGTCTTGTGCTGTGGTAGCTGCATGAATCAGAGGCTGGAACAGTCCAACATGAACCAGAATTTGATTTAAATGAACTGTACACACAACCACGTGAACTTGTCAAAAAAAGGAAAATGTTATTAAAATTTGAGTTTCATTTCTCCCTTTGCCACTTCCCTTTCTCAGCTGACAGTCAACCAGCTGGTTAACTGCTGTGAAGGTGCATGCTCATCCCCACATTTAACCAGTGCTCCCTGTGGGGCACTGTGCAGCCAAATGCTTCACCATTTTTTAATATTTAACCACAGCATTGGGCCTCTTCCTTAGGGTGATGGCTGCACTCTGAGCACCTGCAGGAGCTCAGCAGAAGCAATTGATTCCCAGAAAAGAGATACAGTCGAGAGCTTCCTTCCACAGAACACAGCAGGAAAAGGGACATGTTGCCTCCACAGAGACAGAATGACCATGATGAATGCTGTCATGCTGTTACATGGTTCCTGCTGAGCATGTGACCATACTTTACTCTGGTTTTGCTCTTCTGATGAACACCTCATCTAGATCATAAAAGGAAAGATAAACAYATGACAATCATAGAGATTATAAGAGGAAAGATAAAGCTATGACAATACATATGACAGAATTTTAACCCAAAGCAAATTTTCAAGCAGCCTTTTCCAAACAGCTATGAAGTGTGTAAATTTTTTCTTAACCGAACAGTGAAAAACTGCCCCTGTTCAAGAGCCTTCTTAGCAAAGCCAGATGGTAAAAAGATGATAAAACATAACAGAATACAGGAAGCTGACATTTTCTGCAGAGGTCTTTCCCTCCCTAATTAAAAATGACCTTCATTATATCTTAACTAGCATGACTTTTTAAAACAAAAATGGATAATTTAAACAGAAGCATGATTTGCAAAATGGTTTGAAAATCCCTTCAAACATTTTTCCACCTTTGACCACCTCCAAAGCACAAAAAGGACTTCAGCAATGCAAGAAATCTGCTCCAACTGTTATGCAAGTCAATACCACTGACTACTGAGCAAGACAGAAACCACAGTCAAGTCTTCACTTCAAAGCTCTGTTTAAAGATGAATTACGTGACCTTTTGGCAGTGCACAATGGAACAGAAGTCAAAGGTACCCAAATTCTTCCATGCTCTAAGAAAATTCAGTCCCATATCTATYAAGAACTATCTCTGGGTTAGGATAGACCACACTTTCCAGAACAAAATGTTTAAGCTAGTAAAGTTTCATGGAAGCCTCAAAGAGGGCAGATAAGTCTTCTTCTGTTTGGGGACGTGGTGATAGTTTTGTCACTCTCTCCTGAAAGATTAAAGAAAAACTGGATTATAAATGGATACCAATAAAATTAGTAAAACAGTAGCTGAACTATATGTCTCTGTACTAACATCCTTCACAGAGAATAACAAGGTTTTGCAAGTAAGTATTCAAACAATTAAGGTTGAAACATCATTAACTGCACAGTACTTTCAAGAATATATTAGCTAAAATTTCCTATAATTAAATACACAGAAGCAAGATCAGAATGCTGTTCTGTTGCAGAGTCAAGCACTGCAAACRTGGGCCTTCTCCGTCACAGGTGTCAGTACATCAGACGTTATCTAGGGAATATAATCCGCTGTAAAATCATTTGCCAGCACTGAACTAGGACATAAAGTTATAGGGACCAAAACTTTCAAAATACAACATCTCTCAAGGCCCAGGAAGGGCTGTATATGGGGAGAATAAAAAGCATGTGTAAGTCAGACTCTGAAAAAGAGACAGAGAAAGGGACAGTATGAAACTGCTTAATAAACAGCCCCACGCCTTGGAGTCAGAATACGAAGCAGTTGTGGTTGGTCTTCATTTGGACTGTGATTCAACAGAATTTTCAGGTGCTAAAGTCACACTGACTGAAATGAAACTCCTCAGTTATGTGCCTCACTGCTCTGCTTGACAAAATAACCACAAAGGCAGGGGTGGCAATTCAGAAAACCCYGTGCTACTGAGGATGAGGAGCTGTATTAGTGTAGGTACCCAGATCCTGCAGATCATTCAGCTGAAAGGGTCCAACATCAGTGTGTTCATACTGGTTATGATTAGAACTTCCATGTTTTAAACAATCAATGATTTTAACATTTATTGAAATACTGGGGAGAGTTAGAAATGTCTGTAAAGACAGAGGCCAGGCCTATACTAGCAACACRTTATCTTTAGATGAGGTGTGTTTTGGCAAGAGTTTCTTCTGCTACAACCTGTTTCAACATCTCCTTTGTGGAAGATGCTTAGAGGTTTCCCCTCTTCTTTTCCACGTGAGACAGKGGATATCATTTGCTGAGGTCCTTGCCTCAGGCATGGAGTGGGATKCTGGAGAAGGGCTCCCCCAGCACCCTGCCTGGGTGGGAGGCTCAGCTGARCCCCTTGGGAGGCGAGCACACCTCAGCACCCAGCACGATGCCACAGTGCAAGGCTGCAGCCACTGCACTTCCCCCCCAGCTCGTGGGGTGCCATTTGTGGGCAGGCTGGATGTGGTTACACAGCGAGCGAGGCCACCACACTGCAAACTCAATGTGAATTGTGGTCTAGTTTGGTGAGGAAGTCAGCTGTGACATATTCACAGTTCATAATCATGGTTAGCATGGTTTGTGAGGAGGCTGAAAAGTGCAGATTTGTGTGCATAATTTTAYCTACAGAAGCTGCTTTACTGGTGCATAAGTAGCAATCAAATGGTACCTCTTTCCCCATCCCTGACCAGAGCTGCTACACACAGAGACCCAGCCAAAGAGAAGGCTAAGATTCTTCTATGCAGTTTTGAAACCAAATGAAAAATTCAAATAGCACTAGAAGTGTGCTGTTTTTTTCAGAYTCATAATATGCAAAATATAACAACACAGTGCTAAAGTATTCACAAATTCATCAGGCTTATATTAGGACATTCTAGGCCAAAGCACAGTTTTACAGCCCTGTGCACCAAGACGCCCAGAGTTATCTATAAAATCAYACCGGGTGACAGGAGACAGCCAGCMTGACAGCGCGACAGACTGGAGCACTTCCCAGCTCTATCGACAGAAGGCTGCAGACGGATGCTCCTCCGTATGCCCCGACACACAGGCACCAGCACKAGCTCTGCACAAGCTTGCTGATATTTGCTGTGCCCAGACAGCAAGGCCCTGGCTCCCTCGCTCTGACTCAGTGCCTTCTGGTCCTGTGCCAAACCCAGCAGCTCCGGGTTCATCACTGGCTCAGCCCCACTGGAGCTGCCTCTGGGGTATCTGCAGGGGTGGGTGGGTGGGGGGACAGCGGACAGCCCTTCCACCATCTCTTATTTTCAGTGCTCCATCTCCTCTCAAGCCCCACCACAGGCCCAGCCACCTTGAACCTTGAGACAGCATCTTCTTTGYTAGAACCCCTGCTGTCTGTAAATAAGATCAATTTCAATAGACTCACTTAGGAAGGAAAACAAAATTCTGTTTTAACTTCAAGCTGTCTGAAGTTCTGTCCCAACAGAGCTGCCACCCCAAATCCCAGCAGTCAGCTTACGTTTTTTTTCCCTGCAGCCTGCACTTCACAGCATGGAATATACTTTGCAAACTTTTTGGTGCTATCACCACTGCACCACATTGCTTTGCTGATGTGAATGGGCCATTGCTGTATTACAAAGCAAACCTACTGCAAGACGGAAAGCAAAAAAATTATACAAAAAAAATTGTATGGACTAACCCWGAGGTTATTAACAGACTATTAAGAAACACTGATACATTTTCATCATGTTATATCTCATAAAAAAAAAAAAAAGGTTGAGAAACTGTTTAACACAGTTTAACTAACTTAACACAATACGATCAATCATCAATGCCATAAGATGACAGAAAAACCCTTCAACATCTTCTGGTCAAGGATCCTCCCCCAGCTATGCAAAACTTGCATTCAATTATTATTTTAAAGAACCATGTTCATCAAAACAAACTGTCCAAATGCCCCATAACAATTTACGTGCATAACCTACTTGATGGGGGCTCAGAGACCTTAGTTTTCTTCCTGACTTTGCCACTGSTCTGTTGTGTGTCATCCTAAATAGTTGCACCTTTGTGTCATTTTCTCATGTGTAAAACAGGAATATGAATATTTTACTGTTAATGTAACTGTTCTAAGCTGCTCTGAGATTTATGAATGAGAAGAACAATATAGGATCAGCTGTAAAAAGTGAATAATCTTTTGAACTACAAAATTTTCACTTTCTCCATAGTATTTGTTTCCCTTGCAACTTGGTGGAAACAAATACTAGGTCCATAGCATATGAATCAAACTGTGTTTTTACAAGGAAGACATTGGATTTTGCTTAAAGAGTGGTGTGTTGCTTTTTGCAGTGTCTTTGTGAGCACTGAAACAATAAAGGGTATTACAAGTTTAATCTATATCATCCCAGGGGACCTTATTTCAAATTCTGATGGGGGTCAATGGAACAAAAAAGCCATCTGCGAAGAAAAATACAACTTCTCAATATGGAAAGTTTAATGCAAAGTGAGTTTGGTCATTCTTACCAGATARCACTTGGTATTAAGGCTTTATCTATAGACCACCTGCACACATAATTAAGAGAGGTAGTTATGAAAAAGTGGTATCTACTACAAAGATCAAACGCCTATGAAAAACATCCTCTTTTTTAAAAATGCAACATAAAAAGAAACCCAAACCAAACACTCAGTCCTTTTTTTCTGAATCCATGCACTCCATCCTACTGAAATGAAAAACTTAAACTGTGAAGTGAAACAAAATACAGTTGACTATCCATAATTTTCTCCATTTAAATATTTTTCATGTAGGAATAGAAATAAAACATGTTTGAAAWGAAGCACTTCTGGTTTTGCCAAAATCTGTTCTATTTGACAAGAAAAACTGTTTTGCTCTCTGTCTTACCTGAGGCAGAGTGCCTTTGACTAATGCAGGGATGTCTGCTTTGGAATAACCAATTGCAGCTAAGCCATCATCAACATTCAGATCAAATAGGAATTTCCGGAGTGTGTCTGCCAAAATAAGCCCCGCATCTTTGATTCTGGCAGTGCGGATGTCAGCTCCTAAAATAAGACATAATGCCTTGACTGTAGGGTGGAGAGAGTGGAGGAAGCCTGTCCTGGACTTAATTTAATCATAATATCAGCTGAATACATATCCATACATAACAGCTACTGCCCTAAAAGCAACATRAAGTAAAAAGAGGAATCAGTCTTCATTTTACAGTTGGAATAATTTGTGAGAGGTGAAATAGAACAAGATCACAAGCAGGCTAATGGCTGCCAAAAAGACTAACTGCCACATGAGGTTAACTTCCTTTCCCTCTGTGCTTACAGGGAGAAGCACTTTTCAGTCTGACTAACTGCTGGGAGGAAAGAAGCTAAYGCATGAACGTCAGTGGTATTTATTTGTATGGACAGTGTGCCAAATGCTAACTTCATTTTAAGGCCTTGAGTTTGCTGACATCTAGAGGATTATTCTGTTCAATTACATATCCACAGACAGGACTACAGCATGTAGGCTGAAAAAGGCAGGAGATGGCAGGACAGTGTTCAGGGGGTAAAGTAAATTCTAAATTTATTGCTGTTTGAATATGTGCTGACTTGTGTAGGGTACTGTAGAACTAAAGAGCAGGAACTGCTCCCTTTGAAACATCTACTGAACAGGAATGAAAATATCAACATAAAATGAAAGACTGCAAATATTTCTTACAGAATAGCTTGTGTCCCCTTCTTCAATGAATGTTCAGGACATACTTAAATGTAACAAATAATGTCTACATAGGAGACCCAARTTCCTCCACATGATTTCTTTCACAGTAACCCGAGCTAAACTGGTTCTCTGTGCAACCTCGATGATGTTACACCAGAACTATGTTAGTCCAAGTGCCATACTGAGAGATGAGTAAGAGCTCATAGCTACAGGACAAATATTTTCTGTGATCCTCATGCAGCTCAGTGAAACATTGAAGGGAGTTAASTGAAAAGGAGACTGACAAGCCCACTCGAAGACCTCAGATATTCAGGTAGTAAGATGGGCAGTTAGTAGCAAATAATGTCTGGGAGAAACTGATAAATAAGATATGACAGTATCTTGGATGAAGTCTTGTGTTATTTGGGCAATGCCATAAAGTCTGGGTTTTGCTGTGGAGGGGTAACTAGGACACAAACCCACTACCTTAAGATACTAAAGTAAAAGGGAAAGGGAGGAGGTTAAAACATGACAGTAAATGTGATTGGAAGTTTTAAAATATTGTTGTATTTCTAGTACTTTCTTTTTGCTCAGTCTAAAACATGCATGACTGCACTTAGAAAATTTCTGGCCACACACACACCTATTTCAACTGCTTAAGAATCCACCCAGGGAGGTATTAAGCTTTTTCTGGCTGTACCCAAATTCACAGCTGTACATACACACAACATAACTATTTAGCAATCTGCTTCATGTCATAAAATACCTTCTTAGTTATTGCATTTGGCAACATTACAGATTTGAATCAGCTACTGTAGCCAGTTGGACTCTGGACTGGACTCAGAAGTAAACACCCCAGATAGGAATTAATAAATTCAATTCCATGTGACATGWTTTCAGCAGTCCCTTTACAGCAAGACACACAATGACGTGGTTAAAATTTCAACCAAGAAAATTAGCAAAACTTTTAGAGACAGAATTTATGGCAGCAGTTAAGACCACAAAACCTAAAGGAACTGTTTTTTAGTCACTTGTTTTAAAATCAAGAGCCAGAGCTGAAATTCTCTGATATGCTGCACTGACCAGTTATTCGGAAACATTTTCTTCATCTGATTTTAGTTTTGTGTTATTGCTGTAGGAACACAGACATTTATTAGCTWAATATATGATTCCAACTATTTGTGTTTCGGTTTTCACCACAGGCAGGGCAATATACTTTAGAGAAAGCCCGAACAACCTCACAGACAATGTTAATGAAATAAACAGAACTTCACCCAAAGTAGTTTTTCTGACCATGTTGTTTTACACCCTCTTTAAAATACTGTGATATTTTCATTGTCTATATAAAAGCTGCACTCTTTCTTGATAGCACTAAAAATGAAATTCCCAGTGCTTTTAGATTACTTACACAAGCAAGTCACAGATGTGATTGGATTGCTGTGACTTGCATACAGAAGGCTGACCACACAAGGGACTGAACACGAATTTTCCAAATACCAGGAGAGTTGGCCTAACCACTTTCTCTCCACTCCCTGCACTGCTGTGCATGTGGCTGTGACTGCTCCTTAGCCAGCATGGGTATTAGCAGCAGTTAGGCCATGACACAGAACCCAGTGCAGAGAAAAAACCCAACCTTAGACATAAGTAAGTTAACTCACTGCAGAGCCATGCTGTCACAGCTAGTCTGCTAACAGCTCTGAGATTACATCACTGGAAACTGGCTTGTTACACATAGTCATGCTGGGGGTGCAATAAAGAGGGATTCTTTCTCTTAGGACACTCTTTGTTGATGCATTGCACACACAACAAGGCACTGTACGAGAAAATAACCTTTAAATGAGCTGTCAGCTTGCAGCATTCACTTTTATTCTGCTAMAAAGCAGAAAAGGCCATTTTGTTCATTAATCTACTCCTTAGTTATTACATATGTGTCCACAGAAGAGCTACTCCAGAAGAGCTTTCCCTTGACATCAGMCACTGAGAAATTCCAACACCTACAAACAAGCTTAGGGCTACATAACAAAGWCCAAAACCCACAGCTGTGTGCCACAGAAAAAGAGCAGGAGTGGTTCAGAATACCACTCTTCTAACTCATTGCCACAGCAGGGAATTTGTTAGGCAATATCCTTCCTTTACCTAAGAATGCCCTTGAGTACTGGTTCACTTTGTGGTAACTACTCTCCATAAAGCTGTGCCAATCACAGCTACTCTTGTTTGATTTGTAATAGACCTCCAGTTAATTTCAGCTGTCCAGTTTTCTGGCCAAGAACCAGATTTCTCCAGATTTCTCCAACTTGCTCCCTCTAATCACGTGATTCAATATCAAAATTCAGTATTATTCTATCTGATTTACATTACATGTAAGTCCAGAATCTTGTTTTTTAAACTTAAACCCCTCCCAACAACCAATGACAATTGCTTGCAGACTTTTTTTTCACTTCCAAAATGTAATTTTGGAAAGAATTCCATTAGTACRTAGAGATTCCTACCTAGAATCTCTGCAGCTTCTAAGTGTCGCTCAGGATGTATCTGTGCTGTGAAAGCAAACACTGCTGGGGATGTCAGCACCACAGAAAGGCCATGTGGCTGGGAAAAAAAAAAAGAAAAATAAGAATAAAACACACCAACATGTACTTTTAACTTCAATAGACTTTAAATGTTAATTAATGACAGATAACAGATATTTGAAATGTATAGTAAAAACCCAAAAAGAAATGAGTTTTACCACTAAAGAGTGATCCACATTATAATCCTTTGGCTTATAAGTTTTCACCAAACCAGAAATAGGGTAAGACATTCCATGGCTGGAACAGAGAGCAGAGAGAGAGTGGTTAGGGCAGCTCTCCTGGTATTTGGAAAATTTGTGYTCAGTGCCTTGTGCGGTCAAGAAGAACGACTGAGGTAGTTCTCAGTAGGCAAGTCTCTTCAGAACAGATACTCAGAAGGCATTGACAGGTATGGTGTGGATGTTAGGCACAGACAACCCTCATCCCTCTGCACCTCAGGGACCAGCTGTAAAAAACAGTACCTCCTTACTTTATAGGTGTGAAGTTATATTACTCTACTGACTGGACTGAAAGATGTTCAGTTCCTGAAGTAATACAGATATGCCAAAAATATCATCATTTGCATGCCTTCATATTCACACTGCCTGGGAAAAATAAACTTTAATTTTAAGGTGTAATTAAAAGAGTAGACTTGTTCAAAGAAAAGGAATGAAAGGAAGGTCTCTGAACGGAATGACTGCTAATAACTTCTGCATACAACTCAGGCTTAGGCTTTGCTTCGAGATTTTTATCCAAATGAAACTATATTGCCTTGCAATATTAATTACAGTTCATTTCAGACTGCTGATTGCCTGTCCCACAGACAAACTTACAGATAATTGCATCAGTTCAGGAAAAAACTCAAGATTACATCATTGCTGTCTCACTGAGGAACAGCTGGCATGGAATCTAACATTTTAAATGTTGTTGACTTAAGGAAGGTAAAGAAGGCTTTGTTTTGTAATTTTCAAGAGATTAGTTTTGAGTATCCCAACCCAGAATACACAATCCTCATACACATAAATGCCAAGAGCCCATCAGTTTGTCACAACACATAGGTCCTTCAGACTCACAGGTTAGGCTACAATCTCTTACTATAGATTCAGCAACAAAGCCAGCAACATCTCTGACAATCTGAAACAAACAATAGCTAGRAACTGACCTCAGATGAGGTTACTACTTCTCTGTACTCACCAGAGATGAACACCAGCATTGCCAAAGCCAATACCAGCAAAAGCACTTGCCAGGTGCATGTTGGCTCTTGCTTCACGGTCTTCAGGRTTTCTGATGGCTCTGTCCACCATGGAGGTAAATTAATTCCCAAACAGATTAGTGATTCAGGAAGGAGAAGGGAGAGGGGATTTCTTTATGGACAGATATACAATAAATCTTAAAGATAAGCTGAGATAAAAATGCTGGAAATGGAATCAGGTCCCACTTCCCTAAAAGAACAATCCTGGTTCTGGATCACTTAAATAGATCATACTGGATAGTGAAGAACAAGTTTCCTTTCACTTTTCAAAATCATGTAAATAGAATGAATTTAACCAAATCCAACTCAGTGGGGAACTGAAAAATTCTACCTAGGAGCTTTGGTAAGTCTGTATATGGCTCCAGGATYACTCCAGCTTTCTCACCATCTTATTAGGTGGTGGTCTAGACCCCACCACCTTTGTGGGAAGAAGACAGGGTTCCTTGCCTTCCTATGCTTCATGCTYCTTGTGTAGTTTGACAAAAAGGAGAAAAAGTCTTGTGAACAGTTTCCAAAGGAACAAAACCCAACTATTTTAACTAGCTAGGTACTGTAAGAAGTCTTACAAAAAAATCATACACTGATCATTAATGTAAGTGCACATGGTATACAAAAGCTGTAAAGAGGCTAAAACTTTATTGACAGGGATCAAAAMCAGCTCCCAGCTAAGTCAATACCTATTCTAAACTGAAGAGCTGCTAAGTATGAGCAGGTTTTGAATAAATGCATAATTTTGCACATTTGCAAGTGCATGTCATTACCTTCTTGATGGATGTGTAAGTATCTTAATTTACAATGAAGGTCACAGAAATAATATCAGCAATATTTTATTCAGTTTGTTACATATTCCCCTTACACTGTCATTGAAAGGAGATCCTTGAAACGATATGTAAATTGGCTGAGCAGCTTGAAATACCTTTTACTGAGGACTTCTAAATTAGATTCACAGAGGCATTAAAAAGCTACCTTCTCAACACAGCTAATAATCCCAATTTTACTTTGAATTTAATTTGAAAAATATTTTGCTCTGTTTAAGAAAAATCCAGGGTAGAAAACAAAAGCTCAGTGTCGCAGCTTGCCTTATTTTAGCCTAAAATTTACACGCTTGTAAGCGTCCCTTTTAGGGCACCGAAGACTGAAGATACTGCATGGGAGAGGGCTGTTAAATACATTACCTTTTCAAGTATTTAGCAACAATCCGCAGAGCATGAAGAGCCCAGACATCRCTGACAGGGTTGCTGCCTTGGTAGGCTGGTCGGTGGACGGGATTGGAAGGGCAGGGACTGCGCTCGTTGTAAGGGAGAGCGGTGTACGATTCCAGGGCATGGCTAACAGAAAGATTAAGAAATGAATTATTTGAGATCCATTTTACTGCTCTGCTGTCCTTTGAATGCAGGTTCTTATTCAATTTTGGTGCTCAACRGTTGCTGAAAGAAGAAACCCAATCTCATAGACAACTGGCAGAATGCTGGGCAGCCACCTCCAGAGCACTTTGCCCTCCAACAAACACACAGATGGCAATCCAAACATGGGCACTTTCTATCAGCTCACACCATACCAAAAGCTAGGTGGGATGCACTGGCACCTGCAGTGTTTTTCACTGAAGAGGGCTGTACATGTGCAATGAGTGCATTTCCTTCCTCTAGGACAGGAACCATAAGAGGCTTTAGCATTGGAAGTTTCATAAGGTACTTTTAGAAGTGCTGACCTTGAAAGAATTATTGGTGTGATATCACCCAGATACTCATGAATCTGACCACATAAAGCTGGGGCATTGCCTGCATGGCTCCATTTGGATGAACAAAACAACAGACAAACCATTTTCACTGAAGAACAAGTGCCTTTTTTCCATTACAGACATTGAAGTCCAAGGTCCTTCACCAAGCTTGAGAAATCACAGTTACATTACATGTCTATTATTTTAATATACATAGCACCCAGAAGCAAAGTAAGATCTAGCTCTCTAAAAAGAAATGTCAATCCATTTTGTGCAGTTAAGCTGTAGGTTAAGACGATGAAAAATTTACGCCAAGTGAAAAGGAAACTATGAGATTGGTTCCAAAGATGACCATAGCTGGGTGAAGACTTGCCAGCATCTCACAAGCTTYTACAAATTTTTATTGACACATCATGGCTTTTGTTAGAAAATTCTTCTATATTCCCTGCCATGTCTGTGATACATGATAAATCCTGTTACAATTGTGATTAATCATCTCCATGATCTCTTAAAAAGGGACACCTGGATTCTCTTCCCTGACAACAACTATCCTGGAAGCAAACGGTTTCTCCAGTGGACTGCAAAAACATTCAAATTTCTACAAATGCAGGATTTGTTTCCGTATATTTTGAGGGAGGCAGTGAAACTAAGTAAGAGGAAAGTATGACAGAGCTCACCTTAACAAAAAYAGCAAATAGAGCAAAAAAGATCATCCTGTTTTGCTCTCAAAAGATACATTTTCTACAATCATCATAGTAAAAATACAAAATTTAAATAAATTCAAGTAGCAGCCTATGCAGAAAACTCACCAAAGCACATCRAAGCCACTGTTGGCCACTATTCGTTCAGGCATAGACAGTGTGTGTAAAGGATCAATGATGCCTAATGTTGGCTTAATGGCTCTTGAAGCAATACCTGCAATGTGTAAAGTGAGGAAAATCARGTAAAGATTTTTTGCAAGAAAATAGGACAAGATTAGCTTAATGTTCAAAACATGACAATAAGTAGGGAAAGATATTTGAAACTATGAATTTAAAAGCAAAGAGAGAGAAGGGAGGGCAGAGAGTATGCATGAATGCAAGACTTACTGATGATGAAGTTTCTCTAAGAGAGTTACATGATTTGAGACTTTTGCCTGAAGTGGATTATACCAGACGATGTTCTCTCTCTGTTTGCAACCCTCCCTGAGCAGCCTTGCAAACTAATGTGCTAAAACGCATCTGCAGTTTTCTGAGATTTGTATTTTCTGTGGACAGTCAGAGAGCAAAACTGGTTTGTGTCTACAATCAATTGCTATTGCCAACTGCTGTCTTCAGCATCTGCAATAACCATGTTGTGTTTTGGCTAAGGGAGAACAGATGYAGCTTTTAGACAGACAGACACAAACCGATTGACTATGTACAGACTAGAAAACTCTTGAGCTATTGTCAAACCTCCTCAGTGCATCCATCTGGGTTGGAAGTTCTGCAGATTGTGTGGCATATAAAATCCACATGTTTAGAAGCAAAACCTCAAAACAGTCATGAAGCTCAAGATGACATTTTAGCCTTAATCTTTATTTGCCAGGGATGAAAAGGTCAGAGGAAGACAGTGTCCCTCACTGGCAGAGCATCCCAGGYCTGAGGTTTCCAAAGTCAGGAAAAGGAACATTTGGTTGCAATTACACAACAAAGAAACAGAAGTCTTAAAAGTAGAAAGAAAAATACAGAGGAAATAAGGAACAGTTGGTTGACCCTGAATATAAGTAGAAATTTCCTTTGCAATTAACATTTTCTGCCATTTAAGGACTTGAAAGATTTTAGTTTCCTGTTTTGCCTTCAAACTATAATCCACTGTATTACATAGGTATTTCATTATGTTAATATGCTACAAATTTAATTCAAGGAGGAAACCTTTAAGCTTTTCAAATTTGCCTGTGGCAGTTGAATCAAACAAAATGACACCTGAAAYGACATGCAGAATCCTTTCTTTTCAAGCAGGGAAATAACAAAGACATTGGAAAAGCAATTGCCTTGAATAGCATACAAAAAAACCTACAAAACAAACAAAAAAACCGCAAACAAAACACCAAAACCTCACCGGTTTTAACTTTTAGTTCTTTGAAGTCAAAAATGGCAACACCAGTGGTTTCACTTCCAGTGCCAGATGTCGTAGGAACTTAAAAGGAAGAAGGGAGATAACAACAAATAATAAACAATACATAACATTGCAAAATAAATAATAAACTCACAATAGTTACACCACCAAAAAGACAGGACCCAGGAAATCTTGGAGGTATCMCTGATCCAAAGCCAACAGATCAAAGGGAAACTGCTACTTTGATCTCTTTTCTCGGGAAAGGAGTCTAAGTGAGCTAAACAAGATAAAGTAATGACAAAACCACTGATTTTACCTCCACTAAAGTAAATACCAAAATTGCTGCTGAATACAACTAGAGGAGAAACAAGCCCAAAGGAAGTTGAAACAGTCATGGTAAACTGATTTCAGTAGAAATATCARGAGAGTGTAAATGACTCACCTTCTCCTTGCCCCAACTCTGCACACACCCTCCTCATCCTTTACCTGCAATGAGTGGCTTGAGGGGCACAGTGACAGGCTTCCCTTTCCCAATGGGAGCATTGACATAATCCAAGAATTCYGATGAAGGGCTGGCCGCATACAGGTTGGCAGCTTTACAGGTGTCCATTACAGACCCACCTCCAACAGCAACGTAGGCATCAAACTCGCCCTTTTTAGCAAACTGAATGGCATCCAGGAAACTTGGAACACAAGGAAGATTTGCTAATTAGTCAGGATAAAACCAGTATGTAGGGAAACTAACCATTAAGACCAGCATGCAGGCCACAAGGAGGCTTTTAAACAGCCACATGGAATCCTGTAAAGGCCTAGGCACTACTTGAAGAAGTGCAGTGTCAGAAGTAAATTGTACCTTTGGTCTGTTGGCTCCACACGGACATCATCATACATTTGAAAGTTTATACCATATTTTGCCAAGGAATTCAATACTGCATTTACAGGAGGGAGCTTGGAGAGGTTTTTATCTGTCATCAAACAAACTCTTCTAGCACCAAGATTCTGCAGGTCCTACAATAACAAATCAAAAAACAAACAACTGGTATAAAATCATGCACTTAACTATTTAAAYGCTAATCCAAATAAACTGAACCATTAATAATAAAACCCTAATTTTAAAATACTTGGTTATTGTAAAATTTTTAAAACCATGTCAACTGAAGAAAAGAGCCTTAACCACACACATGCAGAATATAGAAACCAGAACACAGTTAAAAGCTGCCAAATTCACATAGATGAAGTCCTATGAYAGAAAAAAACTGAAGCTGTTGAACCACATGGAACCACTTTAGATTACAGTAAAATGTAAAATACTTTTTGAAATATTTGTTCCTACACAATTCTTGTGAGAATAAAAAGGTGTTTTCACAGATTGTCTCCACTAACTGCCTACCAAAGCAGAGCATTAAAATCTTGAAAATTTAATACTGAATATTAAATTTTTGATGAAAAATCAAAATAAGGTGGCAAAAGGAAGAAAACTAATGTTACATTCTAACCTTTGATGTTAAGTTAATTGTCACAATAGCTATATAACATGTATAAATACTTCTAATGCTGTTTAAAGACAGAGATTCTAATTACATTTACTGTCTATAATCTTAACTTAAAAAATTGCAAATAAAAAAGAGATCATCTGTTAATGCTAGAAATGTCATGAAAGGAGGAAAAATGATAAATGAAAAAACCCAGTGATAMAAGCATACTGGAACAATGTATTCAGGTGAACCATCTCACACTGCTGAAACAAAAATTCTACACTTTCAAAGGGCAAACTCAGAGCTGAATTAATATCTAGTTAATTTAAYAGAAAGTCTATGATACATTTTAATGAGCATTAGAAAGATGAAAGTGATCTTGAGAAAATCCTGGTGAGTCACCAGGATTTGAAACTCTCTAAATTGAATTCCCTGTCAGAGAAAAATATTGTTGCATAATTCTAGCAAATCATCAATGACCCACTTTTCCCCTGAGCTGCATTTCATGTGCTCATACCATAGCAGCACTGATTCCCCATGCTTTTGTTCTTTAACCAACAGCACTTCCCAGCATTTTTACACTGGTACATAGGACCACACATAACTGCAAAGCAGTGGAGACTCAGATACACCATATATAAGCTTTCCTCTGTTAAGTGGATTGATAGCACCAGCAGCCCTTTAGAAAATAATGTTTCACCACTGATGGACTTACAGCATGGAAGCTTACCATGCCAATCTCTTTTGTAACTCCTTCTCCATATCGGATGTTTGAAATGGCCATCTACAAAAAAAAAAAAAAACAAACAAAAAACCCACTTTTTTTTCTGGACAAAAATGGCATCTAGTCCTACTGATTCAAAGTGAAATATAAATATTTAATTATGTCAATATTTGTTAAATGACATATTTGTCAAGAAGCATTGTTTATACAACTTTGAAATGAAATATATTATATTATTAAATCTACCTCAAATGCATAGTCTGTACTCCCCAGGGTGGGCCGTTCAGGGACTGGAATGSAAATGAAACAGTAGAATTAGGGAACAAAAAGTGATTTCAATSTGTTTCTCAACACTAGAGTTGGCAGATTCCCCCACTTTTAGAATATCACTAATATATTTGCACAGGTCATACAACTTGTCTGGATAACAGTTGTCCATTTCATCCCTTGYTGTTTATGAGATTAAATGATCCAAGTACTTGGCCTGACTCACATAATTCAACAAAATAAGTAAACTTTTTCAAGTTTTTTCAAKAATTAAGTATTTCTTATAAAAACAGAGTAAATTAGCAGGAAAGTTGCATGAGGGTTTGTTTGCAGTCTACAAAGACCAGAACAGCATACAATAAGTAGAACTGAGGCTGTATAGAGCATGCAGACTGCTACATACAAGCTGAGAGGTGCTAAAAATGTGTAGGGCCTATATGGTAACCTTCAGAAAAATGTTTAAGACATTCATAAGACATCCTCTGTATGTACCTGGATAGAGAACACCTTTTGTATGCATGGAAGCAACGCTAACAGGTGTTAACRCTTTTTTTTACTTCTGCCTAATTCTGAATTTGCAGGTGAAACTGGATTGCTTGCTAGAAAATTATGGCATGAACTGCTAGTAATAAATATGAATCAGTGTTACTATTAACTTTCCATAAAAGAAAAGATCTTTATAAAGACAGTATTTCAGTCACAGCCTCTCTCTGCCATGTCATTTTTGCATGAATTRTCACAAAATTCAATTTCTGACATATCCTGATTTTGCCACAGAGTGAAGRAAACTACTGAATCAACTGAAACTGCCCATTCTTCTCCAAGAAAAGATCAGGCGAGGCATTCTGCTCCTCCTGCTGAAGTCATGCCTTACGTCTGCTACATTAATTGAAAATACGCAATTTGGATTCCGATCCAATGAGTGAAGCCATGATAATGAGTCTTACAGACACTCTGGGGTGCACTGAAGCATTGACCCACAACAGTAACAGATAGATGTATTAAAATCCTTTATGTACTTTCTATTCAAGGACAGGCCAGCTGCTATCAGCTCTTTCATTGCCACCTCTTTCCAGGCTCTACATGTTTGACCTCTCCTGGAGCTGGAGTCTGCTGTACTTTCAGTCATTAATTTGACAGGCTAAGGACATGTCCAAACCATTTACTCTCCTGCTTTCTGATAATATAATAGAGACCCTGCTGTTACATTCTTGAACCAAACTTCACTTTCAGGGTGAATTTTAGTAGTTCAAAAATTGCACTATTTCCTCAAACACTGCCAAGAAACACAACTTTTTTTTTTTTTCTCCAACCATAGTCACTGTTCAATTGATTCCCACTATTTAGAGATTTACTGAACTGATATCATCTTGCTACACTATAGACTCTTGCCTAAAATTTTCAGAGATGGTTCTTAACTCAGGCTTCTATTTAGCAAGAGCTGCTTGAATTGACTGAGTAGGCCATCAAGCAAACAAGCAAAAGAATGAAATTCTATTTCTCAGTTGCACTATTGTCTTACTGTATGATGGCCTTGGGCAAAACAAGTATCCAAACATATAAATAGCTTTYCCATATGTAAAATGACAATGCTAATTCTTTAAGAAGTATTTTAAGCATGTGAAACCATGCTACTTAGAGTTACACATTACTGAAATTATGGCCCAAAGCACTAATTTTTAGAGGATCTGGAGACTGACCAGCTGTCTGGAGGTCGACAGATAGTTATTCTCATAGACTCCCAACAGTCCATGCAAACAGAAACTCCTCCCAGGGTGACTTGGGTCACTCAGCGCAGTGTCCCTGCTCATAGTCCACAAYGCTGGCCTCCGTAAGCTGTGCTCTTGGAACTGTCTAAAATGCCTATGGAGATTTTTTTTGCCCCAGGCCAACTCAGACCTTTTGAAAAAGCTACTTTGTAACCACATTGCTTCCTGTCTTTTCTAATATAACAACTATGTATCCAAAAGCAGATTTAAAGTTGAGATGGCCCAGGTKATGACAGCCAGAGCAAAGTTCAGATTAACTTGCCCCATGGTGAGGGGAGGGACGGGACAGGATGCAGGAGCTGTGGCTTATGTGGGAACAGTGACTCTCGCCAACAATAACCATGACTATTGCACAGATGCAAAATAAAGGCTGGTTACCTTCTCCTTTAGGTTGTTTCTTCCCAACCTGTTACCTGCACCCTCTGCTCAGGTTACATGGATACATACGGCCCTCTGCAGGGCCATGGTCTCCTACAGAATTATTTTGGAGACACAAATTAAGTCTTACCTTGGGAATAAGTGTGGCCATGGCTCGGGCACCGGCAACTAGT